CTGGAATTGTTAACGCTGACGATATCCAAAGCATTGGTCAGTGAGTGTTCTCTTTATTAACAAATCTCAATTTCACCAAAATAAATCTCAATTAACAAATCTCATTTTACCACTTTATTAACATATCTCAAATATTAAGGATGATGATTATATCCAAAGGATTGGTTAACTTTCTCATATTTATCAGTTTACATTTTTATCTATTTTATTATTTTATAAACTCTGTCTCTCTGACTTGCCAACAATTCCAAACCAAACTGATTTTTATAAGCTGAACCAAAACTTTTAGTTATCGATTTTAGTTTCTTTGTGAATTATGAACTATCGATAATTTCATTAAAAAAATTGGGTCGATCTATTTCCCCACGAAAAGTATCATATAACATCAAATGTCCACGCAACTATGACCCTGTTCTATTTACCTCCGAAAATAAAATTCGAAATATATTTCTCTACCAAATTAAAGTTATAAAGATCGAAATTTAAAAATCCACAAAATCATCTTTTATTGATTTACTGTTTGTAAATAAATTGTAGACCATATTAAGCCAATGACTAACCGGATTAAAATTCAATCAATCTGATATTTTTAAGTTCGGTTGTTGGATTGGGTTACTATTTTGATCCAGATGAGGGTTTGGTCGAGTTTTTAATTTTGTCTTGGTTTAGTTTTGCTCGATTTTATTATATGAGAGTGGAGATTTGAAATTCGGTTTTCAGAAATCATAACTATACCAAACTTGGTGGAAAATATGTTACGAACTTTATTCTCGAGGGTAATAGAACGAAGACATAGTTCCGTAGACATTTGATTCTATATGATACTTTTCGTGGAGAAATAGATCATCAACCCAAAAAATTTGGTTCATAGGTGAATCACTTAGCTTCTTTAAAAAAAAGAAGAAAAATCTACCAGGCAATAGTAAACTAGTAAAACAATGATTTGGAATCGAAAGGTAATAAATAGTAAAATAATGATTTGGAATCAATCAACAAATTATATTATTGTATAGGGAAATTTGGGCCAATAACCATTATATTGAGAAAAACAACTCCCTAGCCATAGTAAGTCCATGGGTATGCTATGATACATAATGTTGCATATAATTTCCATTATACCCCATTTATGTGTGTGACCGTCAGATTCTCTCTGTTCCGTAACCCTACGAAACTATTATCCCTTTTCTAAATCGCGGTTGAGAGTTAATCCTTCTGTGAACGATTCCTACGGCGAATATACCACAGCGGAGAAGAGTGTGGCCATCAATTGGTTTCTCAAACCGAGTGAGACGGAGGTGACAGTATTTTGGAAAGGGAGAGTAGGATTACGCTTCGTCTGAGACATCTGAAAGGTAAACCTTGTAAGTACCTTTCTTAATTAGTTGATCTTACTCCCTCCGGCGCAATTCCGGCGATTGTGTTTGAACGGTGTGCCGGTAATGGTTTTAATTTTTTTTCTCTCCCGCAAGACTCAGTTGCATGCCGTTTGATATAACTTATTATGATAAATGTGTGAGTATTGTTGGTGATGAATTGCGTTATTGGTTGATTATTAGTTTAGTGTGTTCCCGGAATGTATTTCAAACCTGGGTTTCGCGATTTGTGGTTTTCAGAACAGCTGATCTGTTGAGGATAATGATGTGTCTATAGATATCTGTCCGTAGTATAGAACGATGGAGATTTGTGTTAGTTTAGGAGTAGACTTTGGTTAGTACATGTACCTAGTTACATGTTAGCAGTAAAGGACTATACTATGTGTTAATAGTATAGACCGTTTGAGCCTTGCGTTACCATGTCAAGATGTGTATAGATTTCTATGCTCCAGGAACTAAAATATTGTAAACCTACTATAGTATATATGTGCTGCATGTATAGATGTGTACAGATGGTAGTATATGTGGTAACATGTATATATGTGTATAGAGTAGGTGGCATATACTATTGGAAAACGTTTATAGTATATATACTATTTGAAAACGTTTATAGTATTGGTACTCTATGCAACATAGGTGGCATATATTATTTGAAAACGTTTATAGTGTAGATATATTAACATGAAAAGTGTGTGTATTTTTGGTTGAATATATGTGTATAGAGTAGGTGGCCTATAATATTGAAAAACGTTTATAGTATATATACTATTTGAAAACATTTATAGTATCGGTACTCTATGCAACATAGGTGGCCTATACTATTTGAAAACGTTTATAGTATAAATATATTAACATGAAAAGATGTGAGTATTGTTGGTTGAATATATGTGTATAGAGTAGGAGGCCTATAATACTGGAAAACGTTTATAGTATAGTTACTATTTGAAAACGTTTATAGTATCCGTACTCAATGCAACATAGGTGCCCTATACTATTTGAAAGCGTTTATAGTATAGATATATTAACATGACAAAATGTTGTTAGATATCACATAATTTGACAAGTTTGTTGTCCTCCTACTTGTTTTTTCTTTTCTCGAATATAGTACACTTGTTACTGTTTTTCTATGGCCGTTTGAGCCTTGCGTTAGTAGATTACTCTTGGTTTCGTGTGTTAACATGTACATATGTGTATAGATATCTAACCTTCAGAAACTAAACTATTTCAAAACTAGTATAGAATAGATGTGTTGGATATATATATGTGTATATACATGATACTATATGTAATAACAAGTGTACATGTGTATACAGTTGTGTAAAGGTATGTGTGTATAGTATAGACCGGCAGAGCCTTGCGTTACTATAATACTATCAATTTCCTGTGTACCGGACATTGATATAGTCCATTGCTGGCCTATACTATTGGAAAGACCTTATAGTATAGATATATTATCATGACAATATGATGTTAGATATCTAACAATTTGGCAAGTTTGTTGTCGTGTTACTTGTTTTTGGCTTTTCTCGAATATTGTGCGGTTGTTAATGTTTAACTTTTTGTTGTAGATTATGGAAGAGTTTGGCTTACTGGAGCGCTTGTTTGAGACGGGATTTGAACTAACTAGTCGGAAGAGAATAAACAACTACTTCAATTTGAGATGGGTGGAGGTGATAAAAGAGTATTTGTCTGATGCGTGGCAGGAATTAGCTCTTCACGTACTACAAAATCTTTCGGTTAACATGATATTTTCTTCTTTTGAGTATGTCCTATACTATCCAATGTATTGTATAGTACAATCTACACTATAATCCAAATTGACGTCGGTTGTTCTTTAATTCAAACGTGTCCAAGTTGTTCAGCATGTTTTATTATCCTTATGATTTACAGACCATCCCATTTTCATTCCAGTTACCCACATGCGTCATAACTTCTTGTCATAATAGAAAAATAGTAATATATGTAGCCTCTGAAACTCCTCTTGTGAGATATTATAAGTTGTACATTATTTGATGTACTATCCTTCCTATAGTATAGTCTTATGTTTCTAATTTCATGTAGCCTTTTGTCTGACACTCATCTTGTTAGATATTATAAGTTGTACATTATTTGCTGTACTATCCTTCCTATAGTATAGTCTTTTGTTTCTCAGTATGTTGTACACTTGGTTCAGTTAACATGCTACACTGTCCTTTTCATCAGGCACTATGTTATCCAACGTATATTATATTATACTCTAATCTACTCCGTCCGTAATATCATGTCTCCTCTTATTCGGACCTCCTTTTCTCAGCTATTGGGCATTATTTACTATACTATCCCCCTATAGTATAGTGAACTAAGCACCAAATATATTTGCTTCTCACTGCTCTTTGTTTGGTTAATGTCTTTCCAGGATATGAAACCATATTGTGTTCGCTGTGCCATTTACAGTTAGACGAATCACGTTTTCTTCAGATATTATTTTATGTTACCAAATATGGTGTATACTATCCTCAGTAAAAGTATAGTCCACTTTGTCACATATCTCCCTTCTTGTCCCAACACCGATGTTATGTTTTGATGATTTACTCCACTCCACTCGCCTCATAGTCACTCGTAAGTGAGTGAAAGGCTAATATCATCAAGAAACGTGGATAAATGTCTAATCAAACTCCTATGGCTATATTCTTAATTTTAGATTCTCTTATGAATATTAGGCAAATTGCCCCTATTGTATATTTTAAGGAAAAAAATTATTATTGTATTTCAGATTTTGAACCAATTGATCGAAAACCTAAATAAAGCAAACCGGATTACCCGTTATAACCAAACACCATGCCTAAACCAAAACATGTAACTAATACAATGGCTGCTGCAAAAAAGTGAAATTTAGATAATGACAAAAATTAGTATGAGTTGTACAAATAGTCTACCAGCTTCACCGCCCATAACCATCTCCACTTCCGGGTTTCTCGTGTGCTCGTGCAAATATTGAATGGTCCTTTAGAGTCAAGCTTCAAACTAATATTACAAACATTTTAAAAACTAAATACTAGTAGTAGATTACAGATGTGGATTTTATATGAGATGAGTGATTCTCAAGTTCTCTTCTTCGCAAAACAAACCGTTTTTCTAAGAGGAAAAGAAAAAATTCATAACTATAGTGGAATTTTTGTCTAACATTTTGGGTCTAAATGATGACATAGAGAACGAAGCGGAAATAACCAATCCCTACTTATTCTTTAAAAAATATAACATTCATAAGCAATATTTCATGCGTATGAATCCTTGTCATTCCTTGAATTCTAAAGAATTATAGAATAAAAACATTTCTTATTAAAATTGATATGTAACCAAAGTAATAAATATTCTTTTTCATTCATTTTATTTTGTTCCTACTTATTATTTTCCTACTCATTTCTATTCCTAATTTAATGGTCACCAGTTAGAGTTTTTGTTTTATAAATGAAAAAAGTACTATTAAACAAAGGTAATAAGGAAATAAATAAACAAACTTTTTCCCGTCCACCCCTTCCCTTCCAAAAGAAAAAAAAGACAACCACTCAAATGACCATTTTACCCTCACCTTCATCTTCTTCTTCGACCTGTCACTACCGCCTCCAACCCCACCACCAGCCCGTCAAATTGCCAAACTCTCTCTCTCTCGTCAAAACCCATTAACCATTGCCGATAACCCAACTAGATTACCTGTGAAAGTCTCCTCCTTTTCCTCCCAATTCCTCAGCTTCTCAAGAGAGAGAGAAAAAAAGAGATCTCCTTTCGATATGGGTTCTTACTTTAAAACCACTTAAAGAAAGAAACAAGAAGACTAAACAAAATCTCAACAAAAATGGGTGAAGAACAAACAAGCGAGGAGGAATCAAGAAGCAACATCAAGAAAGCAATCGAAGCCATCTCCTCACTAATCTCACTCTCCCACTCAATCAAATCCTTCACCGTCAAATGGCAACTCATCCGCACCAAACTCCACGACCTCTACTCCAACCTCTCCGCCCTCTCCAACCTCTCCTCCTCTTCCAACGACCCATCTCTCTCCTCCCTCATCTCCTCCCTCACAACCTCCCTCACCTCCTGCTACGACCTCGCCACGCGCTGCGTCAACGTCACCTACACAGGGAAGCTCCTGATGCAATCCGATCTAGACCTCATGGCCGCGAGCTTCGAACTCCACGCGAGGAACCTCTCCCGGATCTACTCCGCCGGGATCTTGGCTCACGGCTTCGCGATCGTGGTCTCCAAGCCTAACGGCGGCGGCGCGTGTAAGGAGGACATGAGGTTTTACGTTAGGGATTTGATGACGAGGATGAAGGTTGGAGATGTGGAGATGAAGAAGGGAGCTTTGGTGAAGCTTAACGAAGGTATGGAGGAGGATGATAGGTATGTTAAGATTGTTGTTGAGAGTTCCGACATGGTTAATCTCCTTGTCGGGTTTCTTGATTGCGAGGTTGGGGTTCAGGAGGAAGCGGTGAAAGGTGTGTTTTTTGTTTGTGGGTTTGGTTGTTACGGTTCTGTTTTGGTTCGGTCGGGTGTGATTGGTCCCTTGGTTAGGGTTCTTGAGAATGGGAGTTGTGTCGGGAGAGAAGTGGCGGCCAAGTGTTTGTTGAAGTTAACTGAGAATTCTGAGAATGTTTGGTCTGTTTCTGCTCATGGAGGCGTCTCTGCTTTGTTAAAGATCTGTTCTTGCGGTGAGTTTAGTGGAGAGTTGGTAGCTAGCTCGTGTGGTGTGTTGAGGAATCTCGTCGGTGTTGAGGAGATCAAGAGGTTTATGATTGAGGAAGACGATACGGTGATGACTTTCGTTAAGCTTATTGGGTCTAAAGAAGAGATTGTTCAGGTAAATGCTATTGATCTTTTGTTAACTATGTGTTGTAAAGATGAGCAGACACGTGAGGTCTTGGTTAGAAAAGGAGGGATCCAGGAGCTGGTTAGTGTGTTATCAGATCCTAATCCTTCAAAATCTAAGGAGATTGCGTTGAGAGCGATTGATAACTTATGTTTTGGTTCTCCCGGTTGTTTGAATGCGTTGATGAGTTGCAAGTTTTTGGATCATTTGTTGTATCTTTTAAGCAACGGTGAGATCTCTGTTCAAGAATCAGCCTTGAAGGTTACGTCTAGGCTCTGTAGCTTACCAGAAGAGGTTAAGAGGATAATGGGAGAGGCTGGTTTCATGCCTGAGTTAGTTAAGTTTCTTGACGCTAAATCGTTTGATGTAAGAGAGATGGCGAGCGTGGCGTTGTACTGTTTGATCTCGGTTCCAAAGAACAGGAAGAAGTTTGCGCAAGATGATTTTAACATTAGCTACATTCTCAAGCTGTTAGACCATGAAGATGGGAGGAGCAATGTGATGAGCAGCGATTCGGGTAGCACCAAGTTCTTGATATCGATCTTGATGTCTTTAACGAGCTGCAACAGCGCGAGGAGGAAGATTGCGAGTTCAGGGTACTTGAAAAGCATAGAGAAGCTAGCGGAAACTGAAGGTTCAGATGCTAAGAAGCTTGTGAAGAAGTTATCTATGAATAAATTCCGCAGCATGCTAAGTGGTATATTTTAATAGTTTTTTGTGAATTTTTTTCTTTTTGAGTGTATATTTTTTACAAAGGTGTTTTTGTTAGTTCTATTCTCACTAATCTCAAATCCCATGTGACCTCCAATTTCAACTACAAGAATATGAATATAGCTTTAGCATGTCTTCTTTTTCTTCTTTTGTTATTCTTTCTTTTTAATTTGGTGAAATGCAAACAAAAACAGTTTTCTTTTTTAGTGGGTATCTTAAGAAAAGTTGTCTTTTGAAACTCTTTATTATAAGACTAAAGATTCTTCTTAGAAGTTGGACTAAGCATTTTCTTACCTTGATCCTTTACCCTGGCAACTCTAGTGCAGAAATGGCAATGCTCATAATAGGACATACGTTAAGATCCAAGCTTAAGAGATTTGCTTAGAAAAAATGAACCTGAATTTAAAGAAATTGTTTTTTGTATGAATGCATGTAATTTTGGAAGTATTTACGGAAAAGGGGAAGCACATGGTATCAAGTGATAAAGAAGAATGTGAGGTTGTGTAGAGATAGAGTGATATCTCCCATCTACCACATTTCAATTATACGGAGAGAGAGAAATGAGAGTGATGGATCATCATATGAGAATTAAAAAATGTGTATTTTTGTTTCTCAAACTTGTAGTGTTTTATGAGTAAGATTTAGGGCCATGTGCGGTTGGTGTGGTGGCACACAAGTATGCTTATGGTAACACTTGTTAATGAAGGCCTAGTAACTCCGGGAGACGATGGTCTTAAAAAACATGGTTATTACAAGTTTTGGTTCTAAAGTTGGTTCAACGAATGTTGTATTTAAGACTTGACTCTTTTCTAGAATCAACAATATCTTTTTTTTTCAAATTAATAATATATGTTGTGATTTTTGGTTTGTGCGAATTACAGATCTGGGTCCACAACCTCCCAAGTATCAATTTTACTCCTACATAAAATGACAAGCATTTTTGAAAATTATCGTAAAAACTGATATGTTAACTAGTCCAACAAGATTTTTCATCTCATATCTCTCATATACGACAATGGACCTACTCATTTGGTATACGAATTGGACAAAGATTTCCTCTGCGCTTGTGCAGCCAATCATCTTGATGGCTTATCCATCTTTGCTACTGTTGAATATGAAATCCGTTAGAAGAAAAGACAAATGAGTTGACTAGTTTCTTCTTTGTGTGGTTTGGTCAAAACCTTCAATGAATAAATCTAAATTCAGGTAAAAGATTACCTACAATGAGTTAATTTTCTAATAGAATACACGTGGCAACCCATGTTGAAGAATCAAATTGGGTAGCAAAACTCATGAAGAAGCACTTAGACCATGATTATCCGGAGGAGGGAGGAGGTTTTTAGGAGTTTTTTAAGGGGCATCCACAAATTACTAAAACCCGGTTACCAGAATCATCAAATAAGAGCTGTTTTTTTTTTGGGTTTTGGTACTGTTTGCAGGTTTCACTGACATATGGCAAGCATGAGATTGATTCATTTTTAACTTTTTTTTTTAATCAGATAAAAAAAAAATCCAAATGGGGTTTCAGCCTTAATCATGCTCTTAGCTCCTTTTAAGATTTATTTTCTTCAACAGAGAAGAGAGGTCACTGGAGTGTTGAGACAGAAAAGAATCCTTATCACTTGTGTTGGCTTAGTTAGATCCGTTGTTAAGTTAGCATTGACACAACTTATTTGCTGTTTGGTCTATCAATAGCTTTATGGTGAACACAGAGCAAGCCAATATGAACACATCGCTATGTGTTAGCACAAAACTCTAACCCATTAAGCTATAGTCCAAAGTAAAGATATTTACACTCTTACCATTTTGTTTCATTCTGTATCTCCAACACCCCCTATGCAGCAAGGTCCAAGATCAAGCAAATAGAGAGGCTGAGAGTGCTAATAGTGATGACCTTGATGCGCTTCCTTCCAGCTGAAAGGGTCACAAGGAAACTAAACTGTAAACCACACTGCTACCCCAAAAAAAACATTGTCAAGAAAGTTGAGAGATTATAAGATGTTAGTATAAAGAAAATCTTTTTATGATGGCTTACTCATTTCAGAATGAGCAAGACGAAGAGAAGTAGTCTCTCTCCCTGGCAGTAAATTTCAGTTTCCAATAGCTCCCGGTTCCACACCAAACATTCTATACCTGTTACAAAGGAAAAAGCTATGCAAGAATAGTTCCTGAGAGTGGCCTTGTTCTATATTGCTGAAGCTAGCTGTATAGTGTTGATATGCTTTGAATTTGATCTGACCCGGTAGCATCAGTCAGCACGGGGCCCTTATGGTAAGATTCTCTCAAATACGGTGACGAGAGGGCCCTTATGGTAAGATTCTCTCATGGCTTTCCATAGAAGGCCATGAGAGGGTACTTATGGTGTAATTTTAGCAACAAAAGCTCCAGGTGATGGATCAGGCTTACTTTTCCAGGAAGTCAATACACCGTTTCTTGTTGTGATAAATATCACACATCAGAGATGTGAGTGGCAGCATAGTATCACCAATTTGCTCACAAAGTTTTCCAAAATACTTTCTAAAAGATCAACAGGAGAGCTCAGAGTTTGCCCTGCTACATAACCACAGTTTAAGAACAAGGTTGTTTTCAAGAGAAACCAATACAACAATACCCATCTTGAGATTTCAATGAATGAACAGAAAGATTTGTTTTGGTGAACTAAAAGAAGTGAGAGAACAATGCTCCTTTAGTTTCATCTATAAAACATAGAAACTAATGAGTCTTGTACTACTTTAGACACCCAAAGTTGACCACATCCTAGTTCACAATACTTGACTTTGTCAAAGCTTATTTTAACTCTCTGGTGCATTAAAGTGTCCGCATCAATCATCAGACAAAACTCAACACATCCCATATTAACATCAAATACCTTTACAACAATTTTTTTCATTTGCAAAATCTAGCTTTTTTTTATCGACCAAATATAGCTGTTTGTGTCATATCATTCACAGAATACATAGTCTTAGAATCTGAATCACTCTCTTGGATCTGCAATGCGAAAACCGGTTGTTTTGGTGCAGGAAGATCCATCGTTGTAGTAAGCATTGACATGACTTGTGCAATGTTTGGTCTATCCATTGCTTGCTGTTGAATACAGAGCAAACCAATCTGAACACATCTCGCTACTTCACTATCAGAACCTGAACTTGAAATATCTTGATCCAATAGATCTGCTCCACCACTTTCCAACCAACAATCCCATGTCTTGAAATTTGATGAACACAGTAGAAGCATATAAGAAACATTTTAATTCAATAACCAAAACTCAAGAAGCATAGAGAATGTAATCTTGCTTACATATTCGAGAAGACTTTTGCCTTCCTCTCCAATAGTGAAACTAGAGATCCTCTTTCCCGTTATGATTTCTAACAAAAGAACTCCAAATGCATAGATGTCTGATTTCTCAGAGAACATTCCTGTCCATGCATACTCTGGAGACATGTATCCACTGTTCATTGTACCAAACAGTTTCCTCAGGTTAATAATATAGGCAAGTAAAAAAATTATAAAGGAGGAAGATAGATACATACAGAGTTCCAACAACCCTGCGAGTGTTGGCTTGATGTTGTGTTCCTTGAAACATGCGAGCCAATCCAAAATCTGATATTTTTGGGTTCATTTCCTCGTCTAAAAGTATGTTGCTGACCTTCAAATCTCGGTGCACAACCCTGAGACATGAGTCACGGTGAAGATAGAGTAGTCCACAAGCAATGCCTTGAATGATTTCAAATCTCTTGGGCCAATCAAGCTCAAGCTTCTTCGTCGGATCTATCCAAATTAAATGAAAATGTGAGTGAGCAAAAGTGCAAACACAGAAAAAAAGAATAGGAAAGTTGCAAAGGGACATACCAAAGATAAAGGTGTTAAGGCTTTTGTTCACCATAAACTCATAAATCAATAGCTTTTCTTCTCCTTCAATGCAACATCCCATAAGCCGTACCAAGTTTCTATGTTGGAGCTTAGAGATGAGTATTATTTCATTCATGAACTCCTCTAGACCCTGTCCAGAGCTGCTTGAAAGACGTTTTATAGCTATTTCCTTCCCATCTTGCAGCTTTCCCTAGAAGCAAAGTCAGAGATAATCATCTAGTGAACAAGAATTTGCATGTACAACTTGAATATTGCAGAGGAAAGCAAGTTAAACCTTACCTTATAGACTGGACCAAAACCACCTTGACCAAGCTTATTTTCGATGCTGAAGTTATCAGTGATAGCTAATATGGTTTGCATCTCAAAGAAGTATACATCTTGTGGCTTCAGCTCTTTCTTCCATGCATCTTGTGAAATCTCTATGGGTGTAGGAGTTGTGTCTATGTAAAACATCCAAGTGTCAGTACTAAATATCTAACAATTTAGCCTTCAAGATGCTATAAATGACCTAAGAAACAGAAAAAGAAGCATTTAAGAGTCTAACCCTTTTGTTTTGCTTTGTGTCTCCTCCACCAGAACCGAACAGAGGCAAAAACCAAGATCATGAAAACACAAACACTGACAGTGCTAGCTACAATAATCATGGTTCGGTTGCTTCCACCTGAAAGATGCACCAGAAGAGTAAAGAAAGCAAGAACATGAAGTACACAAAGAAACAATACTAATGTTCTGTTTCATTTCATTTCCTACCCAACTCAGAACTTGCAAGACGGATTGAAAGAACTTCTCCACCAGAAGAAAACTGCATTACATCAACAAGCTCACGATACCACACCAAGCATCCAATCTGATCAACGTAGGAAAACGCCATGCAAGAACAGTTCCCAAGACAACGCTGGCTACACTCCTCAGCATTGATTAAGCTTAGATACTCATATAAATCTGGAGGCTTTACATTTCCAACAACGTCAAAGACATCATTTTCTTGTGTTGTTGTTGTTACAGAAGAGTTAATACGACAAGATAACTCTGTTTTTCTCACACAACCACCAGTCCAGTTCCTTCTATTCCACTCTTCATCTGATTTTGGTATAAACCCTTTTAAACACTCACACTTTGGAGGATTAGATCTCACACACAGCCCATAAGGCCCACATGTATTATAAACATCACATGAGCTTACTGGAGCCTCAAAGTCTGTAACCCAACCAGAGCCATCATGCCAAAGAATCTTCAAAGATCCCTCTGATGTTAGAGTAGTGTAAGACTTGTTAGAGTTTAATCTTTGTAATGAATAAGTCAAAAAGCCTGTCCCGGCTGCTGCATCTTGAGAAACGCTGAACTGGCTCACATGTGAATCATCCATCTCCGGTGTGCCAGTGAACCTTTCCCTCGCCCACGGACCGCCTCTCCAGTACGGTCTTGACCCTCTCATTATAAACCCTTGTGGAGGCAGCTGTGTTGTAAGCTCAGCTATGAACTCTCCAGGTGAAGGATCTGTTAGACTTCTCCATGAAGACAGAACACGTTTCTTGTTATTAGGAACATCGTACATGATAGATGATTGAGGTAACATAGTATCACCAAGATGCTCAAAGCTTTGCCATAAGATTCTTCCGGGAACTTCATCAGCAAGAACAAAGTTTCCATTCTCTAAAAGCTCACCTCGGAGTTCGTTAGATGAGAAAGTTTCTTCTATAGACCAGACAAGATCTTGTTCTTCTCCCTGAAGCAAGACAAGGCTCCCATTGGTGCTGAAAGTGAGATTGGCAGGTGTTTTTGTGACTGGCTTGTCTCTGTTAGCCACCCAGACAACGACCTGAGGAGTGATGTTCTTGAACCAGACACCAACGTACTGGTTCCTAGAATTGTTGGGACTGAAGAAACCAAACTCGTAAGATCCATCAGGAGAGGTTAGAGTTTGTCCTATTGATAAAGGACTTGCTTTGGTTATAGCTGCGTTGCCATAACTTGAGAATCTGATTAGCAAGAAGAGGAAGAGAACAAAGAACACAATATAAATCTTTCTCATATGATATAACAAGAGCTCTTCTAAAGATTCGAATATATGAAAAAAGCTTCCTCTGTATAAAGTCAATGCTGTGTAACAGAACAAACTTACCAGATGCGAAGCCTCTGGGATGGATCCATGGAGGCTTTTTATTTATATATTATATAAACTATTATAATATAGACCGCAGTTCAAAAAAGACAAATCATAGACCACATTGACCTGTAGAATCACTATCTCTTCATTCACATTAAATAAAACAAAAGTGGGTATGTTTCCATTATTTTATAGAGATTTTATATTCCATGTTGCTTCAGCAGATAACTTTGAATATTCAACTATTTTCCATCTAACCAATCCCATCATGAACAAAGTATTCACATTCCATATCTTCTACTTGCAGGTTGCAGCTAAAGTTTTATCTCAAGGGTTAGTAGATTCATCGGTTTTGAAAAGATGAGTTGAAAAGGAGACATCTTAATGGACGTATGGTAAGATGAGTTGTACCAAAACTCAGCCCAAGCAAGGTACTTCTGCCACATCTTAGGGTGAGATGAAGCAAAGCAGTGAAGATACGACTCTAAACATCTGTTTAAAACCTCAGTCTGACCGTCCGTGTTTGAGGATGGTACGCTGTACTAAACTTCAGAGAAGTACCAGCTAGCTTAAAGCACTCTCTCCAGAAACTACTCAAGAACATTCGGTCCCTGTCAGATACAATAGATTTAGGGTAACCATGTAACCTGACCACTTCTTGAACAAACTTATCTGCCACAGATATCGCCGTGTAAGGATGTTTTAAGCACAAGAAATGCGCATACTTGCTTAAACGGTCCACTACAACAAAAATCACATTAAATCCTCCTGATTTCGGAAGTCCCTCTATGAAATCCATCGACAATTCTTCCCAAATCTGATTCGGTATTGGCAGAGGATTCACAAGACCTGCGGGATTCAGTGTGGAGTACTTGTGTCGCTGACAAACCTGACACTCAGACACATATTTTTGCACATCCTTTTGTAAATGGTTCCAATGAAACATTCTCTGTATTCTTTTAGTTGTCTTCAACACACCAGAATGTCCCCCTAGAACACTGTCATGAAACTCTTTAAGAATCAAGGGTATATGCACTGAAGACTGAGGCAAGACCAGGCGGTTCTTGTAAAACAGCTGTCCTTTCACCACTGAATACCCTTTCTTTGTCTCTTTGCTCTGTAACACTTCTCTCATCAACTTCTTAATCCCCTCATCATTCTCAACTTCTTCCAACAAATCCTTCATCTGTAAGTTTGCAGACAAAGTTAACGCTTGTAACACCACTCCTTTATCAGTATGAGGTGTGATTCTAGACAGACTGTCAGCCATATTGTTCTCACTACCAGCACGGTAAATAATCTCAAAATTATATCCCAACAACTTGGTAAGCCATCTCTGATAGTCTATCGATACATCTCTCTGGTCAAGCAAAAGCTCTTCTGATCGGTTATCACCTGAAACCTTCTTCCCATTAGGTAATGCTTCCACTTCTGCACTGACATCACTATAGCCATTAACTCACGTTCATAGATAGGTTTTAACTGCTCTAGCTGATAACCCCTTACTGAAAAACGCTATAGGACGTTTCTGCTGCAGCAACACACCTCCCAATCCATAACCCGAAGCATCAGTTTCAACAACAAACATCTCAGCAAAGTTTGGTAATGCCAAAACCGGAGCAGTAATCATCCTCTTCTTCAAACACTCAAACGCTTCCTGCGCCAATGGACCCCAATCAAAGCTATCTTTTTTAAGTAATTCTGTGAGAGGTCTCGCTATCACACCATAACTCTTCACATAGTTACGATAATACCCTGTTAAGCCTAAGAATCCACGCAACTCTTTCACCGTTTTTGGCACTGGCCACTTCTGAATTGCCTCTATTTTCGATGGGTCAGTAGCTACACCCTCAGATGATATTATGTGACCCAAATACTCTACACTTGGTTGACCAAATAGACACTTTTTGCGATTTGCAAAAAGCTTGTGGTGATCCAAGATTTCCAAAACAGTATGTAAGTGCGCACAATGCTCCTCAACCGTCTTGCTATAGATCAATATATCATCGAAAAACACAAGAACATACTTCCGCAACAAGGGTCTGAAGATAGCATTCATCAATGATTGAAAAGTAGCTGGTGCATTCGTTAATCCAAACGGCATCACCAGGAACTCATAATGTCCTTCATGGGTCCGGAATGCAGTCTTCTCCACATCCTCTTCAATCATACGAATCTGATGGTATCCCGATCTCAGGTCAAGTTTAGAAAATATCCGAGCTCCATGGAGTTCATCTAACAACTAGTCAATAACCGGGATTGGAAACTTGTCAGGAATTGTAGTTTTATTCACTGCTCGATAATCCACACAAAAACGGTACGACGAGTCTTTCTTCTTGACTAACAAGACAGGGCTAGAGAATGGGCTCTTACTTTCTCATATAATCCCTGTTTGCATCATCTGTGAAACCAGCTTCTCAATAGCTTCCATCTGAGCATGAGGGTACCGATAAGGGTGCACTTTGATAGGTTTCTGACCTGGCTCAAAACGTATTGCATGCTCATAAGCCCTCACCGGTGGTAGCTCACTAGGTTCAGCAAAAACCAACTGAAAACGTAACAGCAACTCCTCCAAAATACCAGGTAAAGAACTTCCCTGCTCCTTCTCCTGCACGTCCTCATTCAACAGTTCCAGCTCCGCTGTGAGAGCCTCAGCGGACCTACTTTTAATCACCAGAGATGAGTCTCCCTTCAAACTCACCAACTTCCCCCGTAATACAAAACTCTACTCCTGAGTCTCCCAATCAATCTCACAACGTCCCAAAGTCCTGAGCCATTGAACTCCCAAAATCACATCAACACTCCCTGGCTTTAAAACAATGAAATCATTAGTCAACTCCAAGTTTTGTACTATTAACGGCACGTTCTTACACACCCCTGTGCCCTGAACCGTTATGCCCGTGCCAACCAACACAGAAAGATTAGCACAATGAGTCTACATTAGTTTTGCTTTTTCAACAATAACCGGTGAGATAAAATTGTGTGTCGCTCCACTATCAATCATCACCACCACACTCGTCTTCCCAATGAACCCTCTCATCTTGGTAGTGGTAGGTGACGACATCCCAAAGAATGAATACAACGACAACTCCATTCCTTCCATTATCAACTCAGATGGATCTTCCACAGAATCCAAAAATTCATCCTCCATAACCTCCACTTCGGACCCTCTCACTACCACCATCACCTTCAATTCTTTGTTCACATGTGAACGCGACCACTTCTCATCACACGTGAAACAAATTTTGTTTTTTTTCTTAAACTCATACTCCGCGTCAGACAACTTCAGAGGTGGTTTAGGCACATGAGGTGGCCTCCCCGTTTCACTCTGTTGTCTCCTCATGTGGTTTGACCCCGGTAAAGAAGCAGAGCGAAAAGTTGTACTTGAAGTTTGTTTTGGAGTGACTGTACTAGTTGTTGCAGCCGATGAAAGCATTTTGCAAAATTCACTATCTTCCATAGAAATAACAGCTGCAATATGATTGGGAAGATCTATTGGTTCCTTCATTTTAATCACCTCTTTCATCTCCTTCTTCAAGCCATTAAAAAACACATCCACCAAATGTGCTTCCTCAATCTTTACTTGAGAAGCTAACTCCTGAAATTCTTTCACATACGCTGCGATTGTGCCTGTTTGTTGAATGCCAAACAATCTTTTCTCTAGAGTTTTCTCATAACTCTCTGCAAAACGAGCCAGCATCCGTGTCTTGAACTCAAGCCAATCACAAAATGGTCTATGCTCAATCTCCTAATTGTACCAACTCAACGCATCCTCTTCAAGACTCAACGACACGGCATCCATTCGAGCTTGAGGAACGTAATGATACACTCGAAAGAATCGTTCCGCTTGAGCAATCCAACCATACGGATGAGAACCGCCAAAGATCGGCATCTCGACTCTCCTTCTAGATCCATCTCTACAATCTCTATGATGATCTAAATTCCGATAACCTAGCGACGAATCATACCAATTAGGTTCCGAGTTAGGGTTTGGTACCGGACAATTCGACGTCGCGGGATTATTATCCGGAGAATCAGCGGCTTGAATCGGTGCTTTCTGTACCCTAGCCAACGCCGTTAACACCGATTGCAGAGTCGCATCCAACGTCCCCATCTTTGCCTCCAACTTCGCCTCCATCGACTTGTTCGAATCAACGATTCGCTTATAGCCGCCGTCCAGAAACTCGAATCGCTTGGATAACTCAGCCACTGAGTCATCGATCTCCTCGACTCGCTGTAACGACTCGCGCAAATCCGCCATTGCTATGCTCGACTCGCTCACCGCACCAATTGATAAGTAACAAACAATGTATTTATTGATTATCAAAGAGAATTACAAACAAGAGAACCTTTCTTCTCAAGTTATCGAATCACAGAGAATAACCTCTCTTGATTCCACTCTCTCTCTCTACGTAACAAACTTAACAACCCTCTCGAAATGTAACAAACTCTTATTTATACTACTCCTCTAATATCTTCAGACTTCATCCAATGGTTGAGCTTCAGCCACGTCAGACTCATTAACCTCCTTCTCTTTATTCCCTCCTCTGTACCTCTTTCGAAAGTATACTCTCCAGGACCTATCAAAACAAAAGACCAATAGCAACTGTTCAAGTGATCTGAAAAAATCTGAAATGGTAAGCAATGGAACTAGGATGATGAAGAAACACAAGATTATTACACAATAGTGGAGATATGACTTTTTAATGGGCGGCTTTCAACTATTGGTCCCCATTGCCAAGACTCTGTAAGTTGACATCTCATTCATTGCATTTTACACAAACATTTAGTGATTATAACTTCCACAACTCCACGTAACAATTTACATCTGTTTGAATATTTTGTGACAAGTCAACGAAACCTTTTTTTTCTATAGCAGCCAACTTTTTTTTTCTATGGCAGCCAACTTTTTTTTTTCTACAGCAGCCAACTTTTTTTTTTGAAACAAACAGCAGCCAACTAAACATTGTATTTAACAGCAATAAAAGGTGAGATCTGAAAATGTAGTTATAAAAGTGGAATATATATTATATATTACTAAGAGCTTATTGTCCTTGGATCACAGATTATTTTAATTCATTGACAGAGATAAGATCTTTAGATATTGACACATAGGTCAAGGTTTTCACATTAGGGTGTGTATAGTAAATATGTGCAAGAATGAAGATGGAACCACTCTTCCATGCTAACCTGAAAAATGAAGATCCAAAAACATAGAAGATGCTAACCTGAAATACTGCATGTTCCTAAGCATCACCCCAGAAACATTGCATCTAGTTCATGTATAAGGAGAAGAAGTGTGCTCTGTTATAAACAAAACAGCGGATGTCATCACAAAACAGAGTCTCTAAACAGAGGATGGTTACAAAATGTCCTTCACGACATTATCTTCTCAACGAGCTTGTATCTTCCATAAGTGTAGTTCTTCTTTCATAACAATGACAAAACCATAATTGGTAGTAGATGACACTGCAAGCTATGCCACATGAGTTTGAAATATTGCACGTAAGTTAAGTTTTATAACAATCATTATAATCCACTTTACAAGATCACAAAAAATCTTAGGTTCATGAATGTACATTGTGAAGCATATAGATTCTAAGGGTTTATCTTCCTTGGATCACAGATTGTGTTAACTGATTGACAGAGAAAAGATGTTTAGACTCAGACTCTGACATGAACACATCGTTTAGAGTTTGCGCCGCAAATATAGGCTGCTTTGGTATTGGAAGTTCTGTTGTTGAAGTAATCATGGACAGTACTTGAAGAGTGTTTGGTCTGTCCGAGGCTTCATGTTGAACACATAGAAGACCAATCTGAACACATCTCGCAACTTCGTATATGTTGCATGAATCAGTAAGATCTGGATCCAGAAGATCCGCTCCTCCAGTCTCACACCAAGATTCCCATGCCTGAATACAAGAAGAAAAAAATACATTTCATGTCTATACTTAAAATGATAATCAATCTTTCACAGTAAACATTGTCATTACATATGCAAGAAGGCCTTTGCTCCCATCTCCAAAACTGAACCTTGAAATCTTCTTGCCACTTATGATTTCTAACATGAGAACTCCAAGGCTATAGATGTCTGACTTCTCTGAGAATAGCCCTGCCCATGCATACTCAGGAGACATATATCCTCTGTGAAAACATCAAATAGTTTGGTAAATGATTATGAACATGGTTAATAATGTTGTTGAAGGGAGGTTCTTACAGAGTTCCAACAACCCTTCTAGTGTTGTCCTGATATTGTGTTCCTTGAAACATCCTAGCCAATCCAAAATCCGATATTTTTGGGTTCATCTTCTCATCCAGAAGAATATTGCTCGCCTTGAGATCTCGGTGAATGACTCTAAGGCGAGAGTCACGGTGGAGATAGAGAAGTCCACGTGCAATACCTTGAATGATCTCAAATCTCTTCTGCCAATCAATCTCCAGCTTTAGAGTTGAATCTATAGGTAATAGTGTAGAATAGGTTAGTGACTATAGTAGCATATGATGGAAGGTGTTAAATGGAATAAAAGACATACCAAATAGGAATATATCAAGGCTTTTATTCACCATAAACTCATAAATCAATAGCTTCTCTTCTCCTTCTATACAGTACCCCAATAACCGAACCAAGTTCCTATGTTGTAGTTTTGAGATTAGTCTTATTTCATTTAAGAACTCTCCTGTGCCCTGATCAGAGCTACTTGCAAGGCGTTTAGCCGCTATTTCCTTCCCATCTAGTAGCTTTCCCTGGAAGAATAATTTCATATAGATATTGATAACAAGATATATCATATATACAACAGGGCAAAAAATAAGCAAATAAATAGAATGTCACTTACTTTGTACACTGGACCAAATCCACCTTGACCAAGTTTATTTGAGGAACTGAAATTATCAGTGGCAGTTCTTATGGTATGCATCTCAAAGAAATTTACACCTGAGATATCTTGTGGTTCGAAATCATTCTTCCATACATCTTGTAAAGTGTTGATGACAACAGGAGTTGGTTCTACAAGAAACAACATGTATTAGGAAAAAGTGAGATATATATAACGATGGTAAGTGTTACAGTGTCTCACCTTTTCGTTTGGCTCTGTATTTCAAGAACATAAATGCAGTAAAGACCAAGACAGCGAACATGGAAAGGCAAGCAGTAGTGGCTACTATAATCTTTGTTCTCTTTCTTCCAGCTGAGATATTTAACCAAAAAAACAAAACAAAACTCTAAATCATGCTGTTACAGAACATTATAATCACACTCTTGAAGAAATGTGTTTAATTAATCCTTACCCATTTCAGAACTTGCAAGACGAATAGAGAGAGTTTCTCCATTGGACATAAACTGAACTGTGTCTATTAGCTTCCCATTCCATACTAAGCATCCAATCCCACTTATATAAGCAAAGGCTGTGCAAGAACAGTTTCCTAGACAACCCTGGTAACACATATCTGCATCAAGAAAGCTTGCAAACTGGTGCAGATCTGGAGTCTTTACATTGGTCATCCGAAAGAAGATGTCTGTGTCTTTGCCTTGTGAATTAGAAGATTTCATCTGACAAGACAGCTTTGTACGTCTCACACACCCACTTGTCCAGTTCCCTTTCTTCCACTCCTCAACTGACTTTGGAACAAACCCTTTCACGCATATGCATTTAGGGTTACTGGATCTCACACACAAACCAAAAGGACCACAAGTACCGTATATATCACAAGAGTGTTCTGGTTCTGTTAAGTGATGCATCCATTTTTGGCCTTGGTCCCAGTAAATCTCCATGTTCCCCTCTGGTGTTAACGTTAGATAGGATAGATTAAAGTTTCTTAAAGTGGAATAAGAGAAAGTTCCTGTACCGGTAGCTAGATCTTGGACAACGCTGAATGGACTTACATATGATTCATCAAACTGTGGGAAACCAGTGAATCTTGTCTTTGCCCATGGACCAGTTCTCCAGTAACGCACTGAGCCTCTTTTGATAAGGCCTTGTAAAGGGACTTGTGATGTAATCTCCAGAGAGAAGTTTCCAAGTGAAGGATCGCTGTAACTTTTCCATGAAGTCAATGCCCTCTTCTTGCCATGAGAAAGATCATACATCAACGTTGACTGAGGAAGCATAGTGTTACCAAGATTCTCGAAACTTTCCCATATAGTTTTTCTTGAGACATCATCAATCACTACAAGATTTCCGTTGTCTAAAAGCTCCGCGTGAGATCTGTTGGATGTGGAAGAAGCATCTCCTGTTGACCAAATCACTTGTTGGTTCTCATCAAGTAAGATCAGGCTCCCCTTGCTGCTGATGGTGAGATTTGCTGCAGAGTTTGTAACTGGTGAATCTCTGTTAGCCACCCACACAACTACCCGGGGAACGATTTTCTTGAACCAGATCCCAACATACTGGTTCCCAGTATTGTTAGGACTGAAGAAGCCTAACTCATAGAATCCACCAGGGGAGCTCAGAGTCTGTCCTATTGACAAAGGGCTTGATGAGTTTATAGTTGCATAAACACAAGTTGTGTATATGGTTAGTAAGAAAGAAGAAACAAATAAAACCATACCCATCTTTCTCTAGTGTTTTACTATATTTCTGTATTCTATATGAACAAAACTTTATGTGCATCTTCTTGGTTCAGACTGGTGTATAGAATATTATAAGCACTTAAAATATAACATAATGACGTGTAAGTCAATGAAAATTAATATTTGACCAATAAAAAAGAAAGTCAAAGAAAGAAAAGAAAAGAAAAATACAGAGCTGGAAATTGCGCCCATCTTACTGTCCACAAAGAAGTTAACGTGTAGTAGTACAGATAAGTCAACTTTTTACACAGCAAACAAGTTTGGAGTTTTTGAAAATCTCCAAGAAGAACGTGCAAGTTAAAGATTTTTATGGGCTTTAAAAATCACCTCCACTCGTGGTGACCGTGCATCTAGTACTTCAAGCATTTAATCAAATATTGGAAATTTATGACTGTTAAAAGTTAAAACCATATGTGCATAAGTGTGTGTAGCCGACATCAGCGACTACCACGACGATGTAGCATTCAAAGTAACTGCGATGTTGCGGGACCTTTAGTAAAGACGGAGATAGCGACTATCAGTGGTAGACTTTGACCAGCCGAAGCATAAATGCCAAAGAACGTAAGAGAAAACGACACCGCTGAGTCAAGATTGCTTGAAAAAACGGTTTTTATTTACTTATTTTCACATTAAGATGAAAGGTATGGAATGTATTGACCAAGTAAACTAAATATTGGATCCTCAGGATTAAGGGTGGGTAGTACCATAATTTTCATTATTTGTGATTTGCTTCATACTTCTCGAATACCAAAATAGAAATATTCGGTTTTACGGATATCCAGAACATTTTACAAATACTTATTAATATTTACAGATATTTCATCAATTTTTTTAATTCAAGTAAATTTAGAAAAAATACTATATACATTTATTTTAAAATAAATATTTTACATAATATAAAGTAAAAATAAAAAACTTAATGAAATATGTTTCATAAATTTCTAAACGTAATAAATTTTTCTTATAAAACAATTTTTTACAATAAAATTTTTAGTTTTATAATGATTTTATATTATTTTCTTAATTTAATTTTTATAAGTAATTTTATAAAGAAATTATCTGTTAAGAAAATAGTTATATAAGGTTATACAAATAAAACTCTATATTTAATTATAAATATAGATCTGTATGTACAAAAAGATGGAACGGGGCGGATATCCGTTTCTAAATCCCTTATATATTAAAGGGGAAACTTATAAAAAGTTATAACCTGTAATTTGTTTAATTAAAAAAGTGTCCTACTGAGTTCTCATGTAATTGGAATGCTAATTTTGCTTACGTGACGGTTTGAAAATCAATTGAGAATTTTGTTAGTCCAAAATTAAATTGCTAGGATGTATTATATTATATAGTATGTCTATTATGGACCATTCATTTATCAAATTGAAATTAACAATATATTCTTTCCTTAAATAAAACCTACGGAATTACCTAATGTGATTACGATATATATGATAATTAATGATTTTAAATTATAAATATTTACTAATAATCTGTTCACTTTCTATCATTTTTGTTAATTATATATTATTAAAATAAACACAATTACGTTAATCATATAATCAAAATTTAGATTATATATGTTGAATTTTGAATTTTTTAAAACGAGTATAAATTACTAAAACTATTAAAAGTCTCACATAAACCTTTGGGATCAAGGTTTATTTTTTTCTATAATAAGATAGAATTATTATAAAATCATATGAATACATAATTTTATTTTAATAGGTGTTTAGGTTAATATATATATATATATATATATATATATATATATATATATATATCATATTGTTTAAATTAAACTATACATCATATAAAAATACATCTATTTTGGTATTTTGCACTGAACATATATTTAAAAGTTAATATTTTAATTTTGAAATCTTAGTTTTTTTAAAAATGATTATAAATTATTGAAACCACTAAACATTCCACATTAAAAAAAATCGTTGGTGTAAATTTTTGTTACACAAATATGCAAATAATCATAAAATCATAGGAGTAGAAACCTCATTCGATAAATATTCATATTAAAAGTATAATATATCTGTTTATATCATTTAGATTTAATTATATATCATATATGATAGATGAGATTGATTGTTTTGATTTATTTACCCTAAAATGATTGAACAAGAGTCCTTTGATTTATATGCACATGCCAATTTACTACATAATATTATTAGTAATTGATTTCTTAGTTATTTAATATATAATAATTATTTTATTATTTCATAATATGCAGAAAAATCTGTATCTTTCGCTTGGTGAATTTGAACATTAGGTTCTTATGCACTAAGTGATTTTTGACATAAAATATTTTTAAAAATAAGATCATCTCATGAGTCAACAAATTATGTAATTAACAAAAAGTTTTAAAAAATTGTTTAAGGGCCAAAAATATTAATTCGATCAAGAATATAAATTTTATTTTTTCATGCGATATTTTTTAAAATAATTTTCATATAATTTCACCATGGACAAGGCACATGTCCTAGTTGTTTAGTATTCGTGATTTGCTTCGTTTTTCACGGATATTGATTTTTTAGTAATTATTTTGCTCCGAAGATGTATAGATATCTTGATTTTTTGGATCGAATAAAAATAAATAACGAATCAAATCAAATTTAATGGATAAAATGTTCACTCTTACTCAAGATCACGTGTCTGAGGAGAATAATTACACTTCAGCTGTACAGTTTATATCACAAGTCATTTCTAAATGCCCAAGGAACACAGACAGTGTCATCTCATTTAATGTGGTGAAAAATTTAGGGAGGGATTCAACATCTCTCGTACGCTCTACAGATGTGGGCTGTCATGATGACTGAAGATCTGATTGTGTGAGCATCAAGTGTATTGTTTTTTTTTTTTTGGTGCAGATTGGTGTTGAACACAAAGCAACCCAAGATGAACACATCTCTCAACTTCTAATGACTGATGTTGGAATTGTGAAAACCCATGTCCAAATCTATATTCTCATATTAGTACGATATTGTCCACTTTGGACCTATGAGGCTAGCCCGCATGGATTTACTTTTTGGTTTCCTTTCCAAAAGGCCTCGTACTATTAGAGTTGGACTTCTCTTTATATATTAGACACTCCTTGTCTAATTCTCCAATGTGGGACTTAGTTTGTTATCTCACATTCTCCCCCTCAAACTAAGGATCACATTCATCTTGTATCCCACAACTGACTTCCAGGATCTTTTTGACGCGATCTCTGCCACACACACCTCCCATTCCTAACTCGAAGGGTATCCACTCATCTCTCGAAGGGTAGTTTGGTCTTCTTGCAGATTTCTTGTCAAACCACTCTGATACCAATTGTTGGAATTGTGAAAGTCCATGTCCAAATCTATATTCTCATATTAGTACGATATTGTCCACTTTGTACCTATAAGGCTAGCCCGCATGGATTTACTTTTTGGTTTCCTTTCCAAAAGGCCTCGTACTATTAGAGTTGGACTTCTCTTTATATATTAGACACTCCTTATCTAATTCTCCAATGTGGAACTTAGTTTGTTATCTCACAGCTGACATGATACAACAACATCTATATTCAACCAAGATCAAGTCCGTTGTGTATTATCCTTTCAGAATCCCACACATGAGCGTTTCAATATCTGTGCTGAGTAACTATACTGGAAGAAGAGATGATCTCTTCTTGCAATTGTAGATTGGCAAAAAATGCAAGAGGTGCTAATGTTTTGATTCCACTTCGCCGAGTAAGTACAAGAATTCACAAAGAAGAAAACAAATAATAAAAGATGTGTGATCTTCTTGTATTGTTCTGATCACCGAACACTTACCATGCTTAATCTAAACATTAACCTGTGATAAGTGATTCTAACCGCAATTACCATAAACAAGAGAATATGACAAGTACAAACTCTTTTATTAATAACAAAATACCAACACAAAAGGATTGAAAACATTTAAGAAAGTTTTTATTTGAGAAGTGGTGAAATAAAAAAAAAACAATTTAAAAAAAAAGCTGAGCATTTATTTACAGGAGAACAGCCATCACACACTTTAAGTTCCACAAGTTTCAGTGACGCATTCATTTCTTAACGACCTTGGATCACAGACTGTGTTAACCCGTTGACGGTGATCACATCGTTAGACGTGGACTCTTCATCTCTGCTATGCAGTGCAAATATTGGTTGTTTTGGTGATGGAAGATCTGATTTTGTAGTGAGCATAGACAGTAGCTCAACTGTGTTGGGTCTCTCCACAGGTTGGTGTTGAACACAAATCAGACCAATCTGAACACATCTCGAAACTTGTATTAAGACACAAGAATCAGCAAGATCTTGGTCTAGAAAATCAACTCCTTTGGTTTCACACCAACATTCCCATGCCTGTGGTTTAGTTTCAGATCTTAATAAGAAAACTTCATCTGCAAGTTAAGGAAAAACCTAGAAGTCTTAAATCTTACATATAAAATGAGGTTATTTCCTTCTTCTCCATTGTTGAACCTTGAGATCTTTTCTCCACTGATTATCTCTAATAAGATAACTCCAAATGCATAGATGTCTGATTTCTCAGAGAACACCCCTGTCCATGCATACTCAGGAGACATATATCCTCTGTGAAAAAAATCAAATAGTTTAGTACATGATTTGAATTATGAATCTTGTTAAGCATGTTTTGTAAGAATGGTTCTTACAGAGTTCCTACAACCCTGCGAGTGTTGTCCTGGAAATGAGTTCCTTGAAACATGCGAGCCAGTCCAAAATCTGATATTTTTGGGATCATTCTCTCATCCAGGAGAATATTGCTGACCTTCAGGTCTCGGTGAATGACCCTAAGGCGTGAGTCACGGTGGAGATAGAGAAGTCCACGCGCAATACCTTGAATGATATCAAATCTCTTTGCCCAATCAATCTCAAACTTTAGAGTTGAATCTAGCCAATATCATAGAACATATCAGCTATCAATACCATTAAAAAAGAGAAACATTATCTTTAATGAATTTTTTACATTTTCCAAAATTATCTTTAATGATAAGAACAAATTTGTATTTTCATTAATGCCAATATAGTCTTTTGGTTTTTGGACCTAAAAATAATATAATAATAGATTTCATTAATGTGCTAAATTTACTTCAAATTATTTATGAAGTTTGTTTCAAAAATAAACACATCAACTTTAATTGGCGTAGTTAGAAATGAGAATTTTGATATTAGCCTGCGGGTTAACCACCCGCCACGGAACATGTTGATCGATTTGAAAAATTTAAGTTGCGGGTGCGGGTCAAGTATATTTTATGCGGGATGGACACGTGTTGTTCTAATTTCAATTGCGGGTACCCGATAATCTGTAAAAATAGATTTTTTAAAAAAAATTTCTTTCAAAATATACTAAATTTCGGTAAAAATAATTATATTTTTTTTTAAAATATGCAAAATTTAATTAAAATATACTATTCATATTTTTTTAACAAAAAAATAATTATTTTTATTATTTAATAATTATTTTTACTATTTAATAATTATCTGCGGGTCTTGCAAATTACCCGCAAAATTAAGTGGGGCGGAGGCGAAGGCGGATAAAATATATTTTCTTTGCGGGTCAGGCGGGTCGAACAAGCCAGTTTGACCCGTTTCCCAGCACCAAGCGTAGTTAATTGATATTATTTTCCAAAATAAAACTACACAATTACATACAATACATTTACATAGATATTAATGATAAAAATAAAATCTGCATTAATTTTTTAAAATTATATTGGATATTGACATTTTATATCACCAAAATAAAAGATTATGTAGATAAAACAACAAAAATGGTATCTGCGCTTTTTAAGCGCGGATCAGAAATCTAGTATGCCTATATACTAAGAACATGGCCGGTGCTAAGACTTAGAATAAATATTTTAAGAAAAATCTTAATAAAACTTTATTTTTTTATAATTTGGGGGCCATGTAGAGGTGTTCAATCCAATAAAACTGAACCGAACCGAAATAGAGAAATAAGTTTGGATTTGATAATACCGATTATACCGAATATATATTCTTTTTGAGAAACCGTGATATATGCATATAGTTTAGTATATAAGCCGATTATAACGTTTAAACAAAATAAACCGATTAACTAAAATATTGTAATAGAATTATATGTAAATTATAGGATATAATTGATAATATATACATAATTTATCTTATTAATCTGTTCTTTTTATTTAAAATGTTAACTTTAGTAATTTATTAGTTTGATCTTAGTTCAAATTTATTTTTATCAAATTAAATAAAACATAACTTTTAAATATTTGTGCTGATATTTAGTTATTTAATAATATTATCGTATTACTATTTTTCTTATTTTTTGTTTATAAAAATTATTATTAACTTAATATGTTTACTAATTATTTTTAATAGTATAATAAATAGGAAAAATGTGCTGTTTAAAAACTGAAATATATTTATGTTTTAATAAAGTCGATATCTAAGCATATTAAGTAAAATTTACAAAATGTTATAAAATATAAATATATTTATAGATTCCAGTAGAAAATCGAATAAACTAAAAAGATGATGGTATATAAACCGAATCAAACCAATAGATAAGGTTTTAATATGGTAACTATTTTTTTATAAATCGAAATACAAAAAAACAAAAAAAACAAACAAAAACTGAATCGAAATCCGGATTGTACACCTTAGGGCCACACAATCTATGTATATTTCTCTTAAAAATTCGGACTGAAAGAAGTAACGATGAGGTATATGGACGAAGACTCACCAAAGAGAAAGACGTCAAGGCTTTTGTTCTCCAAAAACTCATAAATCAATAGCTTCTCTTCTCCTTTGATGCAGCATCCCAAAAGCCTGACCAAGTTTCTATGTTGTAGTTTCGAGATTAGTGTTATCTCATTCATGAACTCCTCTGTTCCCTGTCCAGAGCTGCTAGAGAGGCGTTTAACAGCTATTTCCTTTCCATCTACCAGCTTTCCCTGAAATAAAAGTTGCAGTCTTGCAGATACTCAGACATTTATTTGAAATGTAGAATACAAATAAAAAGGAGTAACTAAGAACAGAATATCACGTACCTTATAAACTGGACCAAATCCACCTTGTCCAAGTTTATTTGAGGAACTGAAGTTATTGGTAGCAGTTCGTATTGTATGCATCTCAAAGAAATTTATGCCGGATACATCTTGTGGTTCCAAATCATTCTTCCGTGCATCTTGTGAAGTGTTGATGAACATAAAATTTGGTACTACCGGTAACAAGCATGCATGTATTAGTCCTTAACTTTCAACACAAGTACCAATATTACCCTTAATGAGGGACATGAGATATTTTAACATATCATATAAACTCTCTAGTAAGTACTGTCTACTTATTGATACTGTTCCTTAGGGATGTATAAATATTTAGTGTATAAATCTGATAAAAAGGAAGAGTTAAAACTAACTCACTTTGTTTTGGTTTTGGTTACAACTAGACTTGTGACCCGCGCTTAAAAAGCGCGGATACATTTTTGTTGTTTTATTTACAGATGGATAGATAAGTTTATTTTTTGCTTTGATGATATAAAATGTTCTTGTCTACTATAATATTATTGTAGATTTTAATTTATTATTATCATCAATATCTATGTAAATGTATTATATGTAATTATGTAGTTTATTTTGGAAAAATAATATCAATTAACTACGCTTGGTTCTGGGAAGCGGGTCAAATTCGCCCTGCCTTACCCGGAAAGAAAATAAATTTTATCCGTATCCGTCACACTTAATTATTAATAGTAAAAAAATAATTATTTTTTTATTTTTTTCTAAAAATAATATGAAACAGTATATTTTTAATTTAAAAAAATATAATTATATTAACGAAATTTAGTATATATTTGAAAAATAAATTTAAAAATTTTTTTTATATTTTTACAGATTACAGAATATCCACAATTGAAATTAGAATAATCCGCATCCGTCCCACGTAAAATATATTTGAGCTGCACGGGCAGGATCAGCGGGTTAATAATTAGAAGGTGAATTTGGCCTGTTAATAAAACCATTAGTATATAGTTTTAAGGGCAAATCTCCAAAATAACACATTTCTAAGTTTATGTCACAAAAATAACCTTAAAAAATTAAAATGACCAAAATAGCATTTTATCTTTTGCAAATTTAAAAAAAAAATTATCTTTTCAAAAATCGAAATCTTATCCCCAAAACCCCCACTCTCCAACTCTAAATCCTATAACCTAAATTCTAAACCCTAAAACCTAAACCCTAAATCCCACCCCTTAACCCTAAACCCTAATATCTAAATTAATTTATCATTGGGATATAAGTGTATATTTATCTTCTTTGATAAAACATTAAGTGCTATTTTGGTCATTTTTATTCTTAAGTGCTATATTTGTGACAAAAAAACTTTTAGTGCTATTTTATTCATTTTTTCTAGTTTTTTTGTCCAAAATAAAAAGAACAAATTGTCATTAATGAAAAATTAAATTTGTTCATAATATTAAGGATATTTTTGGAAAACATAAAAATTTCATTAAAAGGAAGGATCCTATTTCAATGGTATTGATTACAACAAAACAAAAAGACAAAGAAAGAGTGAGAGAGACCAAAGTTCTAGTGTCTTACCATTTTTTTTGGCTCTGTATCTCCAGAACATATATGCGGAAAAGACCAAGATCACGAATATGGAAAGGCTGGCAGTAGCACCAGCAATAATCGTTGATCGGCTGCTTCCAACTGAAATATCCACCATAAAACAAAACAAAAAACTTCATCCCATGCTTCTAGAGAGAAACAACATCATAAAGAAATTTGAAACTTCAAATGTAACAAGTAAACAATACTCATTATAATATAACACAGTAAATCCCTACCCAATTCTGAACTTGCAAGACGAAGGGAAAGAGACTCTCCATCAGACGAAAACTGTACCGTGTCTACAAGCTCCCGGTTCCATACCAAGCATCCAATTCCACTTATATAGGCAAAAGCTGTGCAAGAACAGTTGCCTAGACAACCCTGGTGACACTGTTCCGCATCGAGAAAGCTTGCAAATTCGTACATATCCGGAGTCTTTACATGGTTCATATGATAGAAGACGTCTTCATCTTTGTCTTGTGTCTTTGTAGAAGAACTCACCTGGCAAGATAATTGTGTATGTCTCACACACCCACTTGTCCAGTTCCCTTTCCTCCACTCCTCATCTGACTTTGGTACAAACCCTTTCATGCATATACACTTTGGGGTACTGGTTCTCAAACACAAACCAAAAGGCCCACAAGCACCATATAGATCACATGAACTTACTGGAGCCGCAAAGTGAAGCGTCCAGTTTTTCCCATCACTCCATAGGATCTTCATTTTCCCTTCTGATGTTAATGTGACATATGATAGTTTATAGTTTCTCAACTGGGAATAAGAGAAAGATGCTGTGCCTTTCTCTACATCTTGGACAACAGTGAATGGACTTACATATGATGCATCGATTCCAGGTATCCCAGAGAACTTTGTTTTTGCCCATGGACCACTTCTCCAGTAAGGCTCTGAGCCTCTCCTTATAAGGCCTTGTGGGGGAACTTGTGGTGTAAATTCCAGTGAGAAGTCCCCAGGGGATGGATCGTTGTTGCTTTTCCAAGAAGTCAACACACGGTTCTTGCCTTGGGGAATGTCATAAGACACCGAAGACTGAGGCAGCATAGTATTACCAAGATTCTCAAAGCTTTGCCATAATGTTTTTCCTGAAACATCATCAATGACAACAAGGTTTCCGGTGTCTAGAAGCTCTGCATGGCACTTGTTGGATGTGAAAGCTTCTCCTGTTGACCATATAACATCTTGCTTTCCATCAAGCAAGATCAGGCTCCCGTTGCTGCTGATGGTGAGATTCCCTGCGGTTTTTGTGATGGGCTTGTCTCTGTTAGCCACCCACACAACAACCTGGGGAGTGATGTTCTTGAACCTTATCCCAACATACTGATTCAGCGTATTGTTAGGACTGAAGAAGCCTAACTCATAAACTCCATTAGGGGAGCTCAGAGTTTGTCCTATTGATAAAGGACTGGATGTGTTTATATCTGCATTCCCAAGCGTTGAAAATATATTTAGCAAGAGAAAGCAGAGAAATAAAACCATTTTTTTCTCAAGTGTACTCTTGTTTCTTGTGGAGGTTTTGAACATGTGAGCAAAAGCTTACGTTGATGAACAGAGATTATTATGCCTGGAAGGAACCAGGACTTCCCGTGTTATCCGGACAAGTCACGCATTGACATTAATAGATTATATCCTGTTATTGTCAGTGAGAATAGTTTTAAGTATATCCACACAAAAAAATAGAGTAATTAAATATAAACATAAACATTTTGATCAAAAAAAAAATATAAACATAAACATCAAACTAAACCATGTTGACATAGCTGACCTAGAATTTTTTATGTCTCATTATTGGAGATAGAATCTAGCAAACCCATAATTTCCTCTTTTGGTCTTCTCATAGTCAACCTACACAGCAAATAACTTTGCAAGTTTTTTTGTTCCAAAAGACAATACAGATTTAGAAATTGCTTTGAACGTTAATTTAGCTTTATGCTTCATATTGATAGTAGACAAAGTGAAAACTGCAAAATAAATATCCAAAACTTAGAAAGAAAAACATACCGTTCAAAGCGTTGTTTATGCGCTCAGATGAAACCAAGATAGATATCGAAAGTACACCCAAAAAAATAATAAAATTCCAACAATCTGACTCAAAGCCATCGGTGTGTCACCAATGAGAAGACATGGCAACTATTAAGTTGCTAATTTATAGAGTCCTTTAAACTTTAATCAAAACAAAAGACTAATATATTGGATAATGATGAGTATATTGAGTATATTTAGAGATAAGTATAAGGTTAAGAGATAATGATGTAATTAGTTGATAAGGCCAAACTAACCAAAGTCGGTTAAGGCATATGTATATATACTCTTGTAACAAACGTGAATAAGATCAAGCATTTCTACAAACTTTCATGGTATCAGAGCATTGATATACATCTTTGCTACAGAATTGTTGAGTTATAATGGGCGATGAAACAAAACAAGTTGTTGAGAAACAGAATGAAGCGATGGGATCCTCACCGTATTCTTTGTTTTCGTCAGACAATCCCGGTGCTTTAATCACATCGGTGCAACTGAAGGGAGACAATTATAATGAGTGGGCGATGGAGATGTCAAACGTTCTCAGAGCAAAGAAGAAGATGGGCTTTGTCGATGGAACATTGCCTAAGCCGAGTGAAGATGACGCAAAGCTAGAAGCTTGGTTAAGTGTCAACTCTATGATTGTTGGGTGGATTAGATCCTCAATAGAACCAAGGGTCAGGTCGACAGTAACGTTTATTACAGAAGCTCACAAGTTGTGGGAAAATTTGAAAAAGAGGTTTGAAGTGTGCAACAAAGTGCGAGTTCACCAATTGATGGAGCAGCTGGCGTCTTGTAGACAAAACGGAGAAGCTGTGATTGATTACTATGGTCGTTTGGCTATGATGTGGGAAGAGTTACAAACCTACAAACCACCACCTGCCTGTACCTGTGCTGCAGCTGCAGTGTATGAAAAAGAGAGAGAGGATGAGCGAGTTCATCAGTTCATCATGGGTCTTGATGACTCAAAGTTCAGCAATGTGGTGACTGCAATCATTGAGGCAGATGAATTGCCTGATCTAGGAAAGGCTTATGCAAAGGTGATAAGAGAAGAAGCAAGAATAAATGCAACCAAATCCAGAGAAGTAACTCAGCAAGAAGCTATTGGATTTACGAGTAGAAAAGAAACACATCAAGAAGATGGTGCAAGTTCTGGTTCTAGGAGAGAAGGCTATGACAACTCTAGTTTTGCATCAAGAACCGAGAATGGAGGATATGGAAGTAGAGGAAGAGACCGCATGTGTTCAAATTGTGGAAAAACGGGACACGAGAAGAGAACTTGTTGGCAAATTATTGGATTTCCAGAGTGGATGAATGAGAAGAGAGGAAGAGGTTCAGGTAGAGGAAACAGTCGTGGGCGTGGGGGAGCTGGTGGACGTGGTACAGCACACACAGCTCATGCGACTAGTTCTCATGGTACCGGATCTCATGACTTGACTCCTGACCAGTGGAAAGCAATAACTCAGATCATACATGAAGGAAGATCAAGCAATCAATCTGAGAAGCTTTCTGGTAAGCCTATTGGAGATGTAATTATCGACTCAGGGGCATCACATCACATGACAGGAGATGTGGCCTCCCTAGTGAATGTGAGAAACACTTTGCCGTGTACTGTAGGTTTTGCCGATGGAGGAAAGTCTACATCAGTGCAGATGGGAGATATGATCCTAACTGAGCGTATCTCACTTAGAGATGTGCTGTTTGTTCCTAATTTGGATTGTACTCTGATATCTGTGTCTAAACTATTGAAGCACACAAATTGTTTTGCTTTGTTTACGGATACCATCTGTGTTTTGCAGGACCGTTCTTCGAAGACTCTGATTGGAGCCGGTGAAGAGCGTGATGGGGTGTATTATTTCAAGGATGTGAGAGTGGCGAGCTAACAGAGCTGATAAAGAAGAAGATCAACTCTTGTGGCATCGACGACTTGGCCATCCATCTGTTTCAGTGTTTTCTAGCTTACCTACGATTTCTGGTCTTAAAAATAAGGATTGTTCTAGTCATTGCGACGTGTGTTTTAGAGCAAAGCAAACAAGAGATGTTTTTATGATAGTATTAATAAAACAAGCAAATGTTTTGAGTTGATTCATGTGGATGTTTGGGGTCCATATAGAGTACCAGCATCGTGTGGAGCTGTGTATTTTCTAACAATCGTAGATGATTTCTCAAGATCAGTGTGGACACATTTGTTGCTAGCCAAATCAGAAGTAAAAAGAGTGTTGCAGAGGTTCTGTGTTTATGCAGAAAATTAGTTTGGTCAGGCCGTTAAAATGGTTAGGAGTGATAATGGAATGGAGTTTATGTGCTTACGAGATTACTTTCGAGACAAGGGCATAATTCATCAGACAAGTTGTGTTAATACTCCTCAGCAGAACGACAGAGTGGAGAGAAAGCACAGGCACATCTTGAACGTGGCCAGATCGCTACTATTTCAGTCCAAGTTACCAGTTAAATTCTGGGGAGAAGCAATTACAACGGCAACACATGTGATCAATATGACCCCTACTAAAGTGTTGAAAGGACGATCACCATATGAGGTGTTGTTTGGTTCAAAACCGTCTTATGATTCGTTAAGAGTATTTGGTTCTTTGTGTTATGCACACAAACGAGATCGGAGTAAGGATAAATTTTCAGAAAGAAGTAGGAGATGTGTATTTGTGGGTTATCCTTTTGGGAAAAAGGCTTGGAGAGTCTACGATATTGATGACAATGAGTTCTTCATTTCAAGAGATGTGGTCTTTATTGAGAATGAGTTTCCGTATGCAGCAAGGAACGTAAGTGTTGATGTGAATCCAATGATGTCTAATAATTCAGATGATGAATGGATAATTGATGTAGTCACGAAGGACAGGGGGAGTGTTTCTCCTGCTGCTGATAAAGTTCCTGAAGTAGAAGGTACAGCAGCGACAGAACAGAATGTTGGTGTATCAGAAACTGCAGAGCTGGGAGTTGGAGAAAATATTTCTCCTGAAGTAGAAAATGCTGTGACAGAACCAGTAATGGGAAGAGGTTGCAGAGAGAAGATACCGTCTGTGAAACTGAGAGACTATGTGAATTATAATGCACGTCAAGTAACAAAACCCCATCACGGCATCACGGCTCCTGTCACAAACTCAGAGTCTTCGACGACAGTCCAAGGTACCACACCCCATCCTCTCATGAATTATATTTCTGATGAAAAGTTTTCTCCAGCACATAAGGCTTTCTTGGCGGCTATCACTAATGGAAGAGAACCAAGAAGTTACAAGGAAGCTGTGCAACATGAGGTGTGGCGAAATTCGATGAAGAATGAGATTGATGTGTTTGAAGTAAACAAAACATTCAGTGTAGAAAGGCCAAAATGTGGATCTACCTCCGGGGAAGAAAGCAATTGGCAAAATGTGGATCTACAAGTGGAAATATAATGCAGACGGTACAGTAGAAAGGCCAAAATCAAGGCTTGTTGCGTTGGGAAACAAACAGGTTCAAGGACGAGATTTCGAAGAGACGTTTGCCCCTGTAGCAAAGATGACAACGATTCGATGTTTACTGAGAATTGTTGCAGGCAAGGGTTGGATTGTGCATCAAATGGATGTACACAATGCATTCTTGCATGGAGATCTTCAAGAAGAAGTGTATATGAAGCTTCCGCAGGGATTCAAGGTTTCAGATCCCAACAAAGTGTGTAAATAACATAAGGCAATTTATGGTTTAAAACAGGCACCTAGGTGCTGGTTTGCTAAGCTCACAGAGGCACTCAAGCGTTTTGGTTTCCATCATTCGTATGCTGATTATTCCTTATTTGTCTACTCGAAAGGAAACGTGGAGCTCAGAGTTCTAATTTATGTGGATGATTTGTTAGTATGTGGGAATGATATAGAAGTTGTGACCAAGTTCAAAGAGCACTTGGGGAGGTGTTTTCACATGAAAGATTTGAGGAAGTTGAAATATTATCTTGGCATAGAGATTGGTCGAGGAGAAGAAGGTTTTATGCTTACTCAACGTAAGTATACTTTGGATTTGATATCAGATGTTGGTCTTCTTGGTGCAAAACCAGTCGCAACTCCAATGGAGATACAACATAAGCTAGGTCTGGATAAGAGTCCGGTGTTGCAAGATGCAGGGAAATATCGGAGGTTAATTGGTAGGTTAATATACCTATCAATTACAAGACCAGACATTTCATATTCAGTGAACATACTGTCCCAGTTTATGCAAACACCGCGTGAAGGACAGTGGGAAGCGGCATTGAGAGTTGTGAGATATCTTAAGGGTACAGCAGGTCAGGGGATATTGCTAAGCTCTCGTCTGGACATGAGTTTATCTGTTTACTGTGATGCAGATTGGTCGGCGTGTCCAGTTACCAGGAGATCGTTGAGTGCGTATGTAGGACTTATTGGAGGATCACCAGTGTCATGGAGGACCAAGAAACAGAAAGTTGTTTTGCATTCTTCGGCAGAGTCGGAATATAGATCTATGGCGCAAGCAACAAGAGAAATCAAGTGGCTTTGCAGGTTGCTGCGTGACTTGGGAGCGAAGCAAGTGAAACCAGTGAAATTATTTTGTGACAGCAAGTCAGCAATGTATATAGCTGCAAATCCAGTGTTCCACGAACGGACTAAGCATATTGAATCCGATTGTCACCAGGTTCGTGATGCAATACAAGAAGGGTTGTTGGAAACCGTTTATGTTCGAACAACAGCACAGTTAGCTGATGTTTTGACAAAGGCACTTGGCAGGGAGCAATTTGAAGCTTTGTTGTTGGGAGTAAGAAACTTCCATCTTCCCAACTTGAGGGGGAGTATTGGATAATGATGAGTATATTGAGTATATTTAGAGATAAGTATAAGGTTAAGAGATAATGATGTAATTAGTTGATAAGGCCAAACTAACCAAAGTCGGTTAAGGCATATGTATATATACTCTTGTAACAAACGTGAATAAGATCAAGCAGTTCTACAAACTTTCAACGACAAAGCTGACGAAAATTACACGAAATGGACTCACACAGACTGCACTCACATGCCCATGTCTCACTAAAAAAAACTTGCACAAGACATTAGACATCCTCACTGCTGCTCTCAGGATAAAAATATTAATGAGCTCTCAGTCAAATAATTGAATTAAGGAGATTTCCGTAGAACCTTGCATTTATTAAGTCCTATTTCAGTAGCACCAGTTTTACGCGGATTCGAAGACCCCGAACCAGAACTGATCTGAACAAAACTTGTTTACTTATTGTTACTTAACGCCCAAGGATCACAGATAGTGTCATCTCATTGAAGGTCATCAAATCCTTAGACATGGATTCTTCATCTCTGCTGTGCACAACAAATGTGGGCTGTTTTGGTGATGGAAGATCTGATGTTGTGGTCAGCATATATAGCAACTCTACTGTGTTGGGTCTGTCTGCAGGTTTGTGATGAATACAGAGCAGACCAATTTGCACACATCTCCCAACTTCTGATGGGTTGCATGAAGCAGCAACATCTTGATCCAAGAGATCAACGCCTCCATTTTCACACCAAGATTCCCACGCCTGTTTTTTTGTTTCAGTTCTTAAAAATCTAAGAGCAGTAAACATTTTGAAACCTTTGCCATTATATGAAAACATAAAGTCTTACTTACATATGAAAGAAGAGTTTTTCCTTCTTCACCATAGATGAACTTTGAGATTTTCTTTCCGCTGATGATTTCTAACAATAGAACTCCGAAGCTGTAGATGTCAGATTTCTCAGAGAATGCTCCGGTCCATGCATACTCAGGAGACATATATCCCCTATACAAACATCAAAATCTTTCACCCAAATTTTATAGACGATAAATCTTGTTAAGTGTGTTTTTAAAATTAGATTCTTACAGAGTTCCTACAATCCTTCGAGTATTGTCTTGATATTCAGTGCTTCCCTGATACATCCTAGCCAATCCAAAATCTGATATTTTTGGGTTCATCTTCTCATCCAGAAGGATATTGCTCACCTTGAGGTCTCGGTGAATGACCTTGAGGCGTGAGTCACGGTGGAGATAGTGTAGTCCACGTGCAATGCCTTGGATGATACTAAATCTCTTATGCCATGCAATCTCAATCCTTTTTCTTGAATCTAAGCAATAATACAGTGTTCAACATGAATTCATAAATCAATATTTTTTCTTGAATCAGAAAGAATGTTGTAGTAAAACTTAGGAAAAGAATGATGAAAAGAAAGACCCACCAAAGAGAAAAGTATCAAGGCTTTTGTTCAACATGAACTCATAAATCAATAGCCTCTCTTCTCCTTCAATGCAGCATCCCAAAATTCGAACTAAGTTTTTGTGTTGTAGTTTTGAGATGAGTATTATTTCATTCATGAATTCCTCTTTGCCCTGTCCAGAGCTGCTAGAAAGCCGTTTTACAGCAATTTCTTTCCCATCTTGCAGCTCTCCCTGAAACAGATTGCATAGTCATCTCGAGAACATAAACAGAGAATACACGGGTATAAAGTAAAAATGAAGAAAATTCTCCAACCTTGTAAACTGAGCCAAATCCACCTTGCCCCAGTTTATTTGAGAGACTGAAATTCATGGTGGCAGTTTGAATTGTTTTCATCTTGAAGAAATTTAAACCTGACACATGTGGCTTCAGACCATTCTTCCATGCATCTCCTGAGGCGTTCTTTGAAATAATAGCTGAATTGATAGGTACATAGTAAAGTCACGAGGGTGTTACCATTTAGCAATCAATTGAATAGATAATCACAAGAAATCATACTTACCAATATGTTTAAGTTTGTATCTCCAGAAACCAAACGCAGCAGAACCCAATATCACAAAAAGAGAAAGGCTCACAACACTAGCAACAATGATCTTCTTGCTAATATTTCCACCTTATATATATTAATTTATACGCAAACAAATTACGCAATAAGTAATGCTAATACGGAAAGAACAGTGTCAAAAGTTAAAAAACAGTAGATTTTACAACTTCATTCATTATAAAGCTTATCACACAAGTTTAAAAGCTTCACATGTGATCTCAGATTTCTAGCCAATAGATGGTAGAAGTAAATTTAACATTCATTGTAAAAACTGTTTTGAATCTAATAAATTTAACATTCATTCAAAAAAAAAAAAAAACAGTGTCAAAAGAGTTGAAGATGGAGTTTAAACACAATAGGCATGTACAGTGCTCCATACCTAGTTCAGAGCTTGCAAGACGAATGGAAATAAGTTCTCCTCCCTCAGAAAACTGCATTACGTCTATTAGCTCTTGATTCCAAATTAAGCACCCAATTCCACGAATAAAAGCAAAGGCCAAGCAAGAACAGTTGTGGAGGCAGCTTTGGCGGCATTCTTCATCATCCACAGAACTAACAAATTTGTAATTGTCTGGAGGCTTTATGTTGGCAACAGGATGGAAGACATTCACAGCTTTGCCAGTAGAGTTTCCATTACAAAGTAGTTCGGTTCGCCTCTCACAACCACCACTCCAGTTTCCTTTTTTCCACTCCTCAATAGATTTTGGTACAAAACCTTTAAGGCATTCACACTCTAGAGGAGCCGAACCAACACACAGCCCAAAAACTCCACAAACACCGTAAAATTCGCATGCATTGGCTGGAGCTGTATAGGGTACTTCCCAGTCGGTCCCATTATGTCGAAACCTCTTCTGTAAACCCTCTGATGTTAAAACTACACATGAGGGTTTTGAGCTTCTATCTTCATAAGAGAAAGATCCTGACATGTTACCATCCTGTTGAAAGCTAAATGGGCTTGCGAATGTTTCATCCATTAGCGGTGTCCCGGTGAACTTCGTCTTAGCCCATGGACCGCTTCTATAGTAAGGTGTTGAGCCTTTCATAGTAAACAACTGTGATGGCACTTGAGGTGTGATCTGATACACAAAGTCACCCGGCGATGGATCATTGTGACTTTTCCATGAAGTCAACGCTCGCCTCTCACCGGTTAAGCTATTAAACATCAGAGGTGAGGAAGGGAGCAGCGTATCACCAAGATGCTCAAAGCTATCCCATAGAGTTCTTCCTGAAACGATTTCTATCACAACAAGATTTCCTTTGTCTGAAAGCTCTACACGAGACCCGTTAGATGCGGAAGTTCCTCTACTGGACCAGACAATGCTGTCTTTGCCATTAAATAAGAGTAGACTTCCATTGCTGGTGACAGCTAGATTTGCCGAGGAGTCTGTAACAGGAGTTTCTCTATTGGCCACCCACACAACCATTTGAGGAATGATACCTTTGAACCAGATTCCGACATACTGATTCTGGGAGTTATTAGGACTAAAGAACCCCAATTCATAGACACCATTTGGCGAGCTGAGAGTTTGCTCTATTGACAAAGGACTTGTTGGTGTTATTTCTGCAAAGCTTAAACTTGAAAAAATGGTAAATAAGAGTAAATGAACAAAGAATATGACACTCTTCTTCCCCATGTGTGCTTTTTTTGTCTCCATGTAAGTTGCTCAAATTATAAGAATAAACAAAATACTCCGGGACATGTGACTTGCGAGAACTAGAATCTTTCTTTTTTTAGTGTAAATGTGAAGAGATCGAGAGAACTAATTTCAAGCACCTATAAACAATCTTGACAACATCACAGTCTAGTAATACAATTACATAGCATCCCTCCCACATACGTAATTGCCACGAAGAAAGGAATAAGTCCGACCTTTGACCCGATCTATTACACCACATTGTCAATGCCATGTCCCTTTCAGTCTTGACAAATAAACTAACATTTTTCCACGCGTTGATTGACCTCAGATTGAAAGATCGTCAAGTTCCTATGTTCATGGAATCTAGAACCAACGAAAAAGATAAACATTTACGCTCTGCAACAAAACTGAAAGATGACTTTATGAATAAATCACAGGATGAGAATATTATTTTTCTTTTGATTTCACTATGAAAATTAGCACTTGTTGCACAAAGAGTGTATTTTTTCTTTTGAGTAAATTTAACATATATTAAAAAAAAAAAGAGAGAATATTATTAATCAATAAGATACTTCTAAGTAGTTTTTGAAAGACTTGTTTGGCCCTTACAACACAATTTTAATGTTACATAGATTGTGAGACACTGTTTAATGCAAGAAAATTGTAGAGATGTTAGAGCAGCTCCACTGAGGAGTTCTTAACGAAATATAAAAATCTGTCTCTTAACTTTTAAGTTAAAAAAGCTAAGAACCGATTTTTTAATGTTTTATTTAAGAACCAAACATTTAAGAATCAGTATTTAACTTTTTTAATTAAAAGTTAAAAGACGAATTTTTATATTTTGCTAAGAATTCTACCCTAAGAATCTCTCATTGGAGATGGTCTTAGAGACCACGAAACTTGAATGCGGCAATGAATGGAAAAAAAAATTATTGAATGAGGTGTCCTTTTTTTAAACACTATTGTTTTAAACACAAATGAGGTGTTCACTATATATAATCCAAAGATATAGCTTAAACAAGTGACAGAGATTAAAAACATCCAAGCCGAAGACCCTTGCGTTTATAGGCTCTAACAGTTAAGATAAAAATATACTATAAGAGTATTATTTCGTCAATGTATTAAAAATGAATAATGAGTAAAACGTTAAAGTTATCAACTCTAAAATGGTCCTTATCATGGTCCTTATTAATTTTGGCCCCAAAAGAAAATAAAAAAGGAGTAATTTGTTAAGGACTGTGTGGAAAAGTCCTAGAATAAGAAGTTTTTGGGCTACACCTTAATGCCACGCGTCAATAGTATCGCGGTACTCTCTCTCATCTCTCTCTCCCAAGTTCGTGAAATCCTTGGGTTTCAAATCCAAATCGTCTGATTGAACTCTCCTCACGTTCTCTAACCGGGGACAAGATGGAAACATCAATCAATATAGGGTAAGGAACTTTTGTTATGTTTGAATCTAAACATTGTTCTTGTTTCATAGTTGTTCACATTGTGTCTGAAACCTTTCAGATTTGCTTGTAGTTTACTTAGACAAGAGATGAAGCATATCATCATAAATCTTGACACACCACATATCAAAGCATTGGAGAAAGCTGGAGAAAAAGATGTTATTTGCTGCAGATCATCACCCAAGCAAAAGGCATTGGTAATACTAATGTCACGTTTATGCGTTTATTGAGTTTTAGTATGTTTAACTGATACAAGATTTGTTTTTCCAGGTTACACGGTTGGTCAAAACTAGGACAGGGAAGACAACATTAGCTATTGGAGATGGAGCAAACGATGTTGGAATGCTTCAAGAAGCAGATATAGGTGTTGGAATCAGCGGTGTTGAGGGAATGCAAACGGTTATGTCTAGCGACAGTGCCATTGCTCAGTTCAAATACTTAGAGCGTCTCTTTCTCGTCCATGGTCACTGGTGTTACTGCAGAATCTCATCCATGGTACAGATCTTTAGATAAACTCTAATACATCATCATAATTTCTATAACTAGGGTTTGTTTTCATTTGGGCAGATATGTTACTTCTTCTACAAGAACATCACTTTTGGTGTGACCATAACAAAAATAATTAATTTACTTAGAGATCATTAAAAGTCCTACCAATAATCTAATTTTTTTAGATTATCCCTATTATTTGTTCTTAACACCACAATAATATTAAAATAAGCTAAAGACACTCAATTTGGTCCTACCAATAATCATGCTCTTAAAAGAGAACAATCTAACACATCACTTATATAATTTCCATCACGCATTGTTACTTAACGCCCAAGGATCACAGATAGTGTCATCTCATTGAAGGTCATCAAATCCTTAGACATGGATTCTTCATCTCTGCTGTGCACTACAAATGTGGGTTGTTTTGGTGATGGAAGATCTGATGTTGTGGTCAGCATCGAGAGCAGCTCAAGTGTGTTGGGTCTGTCGACAGGTTGATGTTGAACACAGAGCAGACCAATCTGAACACATCTCCCAACTTCAGATGGACTGCATGAATCTGTAACATCTTGATCCAAGAGATAAATTCCTCCATTTTCACACCATGATTCCCATGCCTGTTTTTTTTTTTCTTAGTTTTTACAAATATAAGAGCAATATACGTTTTGAAACCTATGCAAGTGTATGAAACTATAAAGCCTTACTTACATATGAAAGAAGCGTTTTTCCTTCTTCACCGTTGATGAATTTTGATATCTTCTCTCCGCTGATTATTTCTAGCAGTAAAACTCCGAAACTGTAGATGTCTGACCTCTCGGAGAACGTGCCAGTCCATGCATACTCAGGAGACATATATCCCCTATAAAAACATAAAAAAAAATTCACCCAAACTTGATATATGATTATGACAAAGAATCTTGTTAAATGTGTTTATGAAAGTAGTTTCTTACAGAGTTCCTACAACCCTTCCAGTATTGTTCTGATATTCAGTGCCTTGATACATCCGAGCCAATCCAAAATCTGATATTTTTGGGTTCATGTTCTCATCCAGAAGAATATTGCTCACCTTAAGATCTCGGTGAATGACCTTGAGGCGTGAGTCACGGTGGAGATAGAGAAGTCCACGTGCAATACCTTCAATGATATTGAATCTCTTAGGCCAGCCAATGTCAATCTTTTTTCTTGAATCTAAGCAATAATACAGTGTTCAACATGAACTCATAAATCAATCTGTTTTCTTGAATCAGAAAGAGTGTTGTACACAGAGAGAAAAACTTAGGAAGGAATGAGGAAAGAAGAGACCCACCAAAGAGAAAAGTATCAAGGCTTTTGTTCAACATGAACTCATAAATCAGTAGCCTCTCTTCTCCTTCAATGCAGCATCCTAAAATCCGTACTAAGTTTATGTGTTGTAGTTTTGAGATGAGTACTATTTCATTCATGAACTCCTCTTTGCCCTGTCCAGAGCTGCTAGAAAGCCGTTTTACAGCAATTTCTTTCCCATCTAACAGCTTTCCCTGAAACAGATTGGCGAAGGTCATCTCGAGAGCATAAGCAGATAATACAAAAGAAGAGCAAAGTCGAATACAATTCTCTGACCTTATAAACCGTACCAAATCCACCATTCCCAAGTTTATTTGAGGGACTGAAATTATTGGTGGCAGTTTGAATGGTATTCATCTCAAAGAAACATAAACTTGAGAAATCTTGTGGTGTAAGCTCATTGCTCCATGCATCTTGTGAAGAATCGTGTGTTATATTTTCTGAAACGTTCCAAGAATAGATAAACAACATGGCATTTCTATAGAGATAGCAAGGTCATCAGTGTTTTACCATTATGTTTCACTCTGCATCTCCAGAAATAAAACGCAGCTGAACCCATTATCACAAAAAGAGAAACGCTGACTAGACTAGCAGTAATGGTCCTCTTCCGCTCATTTCCATCTGAGATATGTAATACAAAAAAAAAAAAAAAAAAAATAAACAATAAGCCATGGAACCTAAAAAAAATTCAATGATGTAATCTTTCTCATGGCATACCCAACTCAGAACGTGCAAGACGAATGGAAAGAAGTTCTCCTCCTGAAGAAAACTGCACTGTATCCATTAGCTCCTGATTCCATATTAAGCACCCTATTTCACGAATAAAAGAAAAGGCCAAGCAAGAACAATTGTGTAGGCAACTTTGGTAGCATTCTTCAGCATCCAAATTTGCATATTTGTAAAATTCCGGAGGCTTTATGTTGGCAACATGATGGAAAATGTTGGCAACTTTGTGAGTAGAGTTTCCTTGACAATCTAGTTCGGTACGCCTCTCACAACCACCACTCCAGTTTCCTCTTTTCCACTCGTCCTTATATTTTGGTTCAAACCCTTTGAAGCATTTACACTTTGGAGGTGCTGGCCTGACACACAACCCAAAAGGTCCACATAAACCGTAAACATCGCATGAATTGGTCGGACCCTCGTAGGTTACTTCCCACTTGGTTCCACTATGTTGAAACCTCTTAAGATGACCCTCTGGTGTTAGAACTAGACGTGAAATTTTGGAGTCTCTTCCTATAAAAGAGAAAGACGCTGACCCGTTTGCATCCTGCGGATAACTGAATTCACTTGCTAGTGTTTCATTCATTAGCGGTATCCCAGTGAACCTTGTTTTAGCCCATGGACCGCTTCTATAATAAGTGGTTGAGCCTCTCGTGGTGAGCACCTGTGATGGCACTTGCGGTGTAATCTGAGCCACAAAGTCACCAGGGGATGGATCAGTATAACTTTTCCAAGAAGTCAAGACCCGCTTCTCACCGGTCGTGAGATTACACATCAAGGCTGAGAGAGGGAGCAGAGTATCACCAAGATGCTCAAAGCTTTCCCACATAGTTGTTCTTGAAACGTTTTCTATGACAACAAGATTTCCCTCGTCTAAAAGCTCTGCACGAGACCCGTTAGATGCGGAGGTTCCTCTACTGGACCAGACAATGCTGTCTTTGCCATTAAATAAAAGTAGACTTCCATTGCTGGTGACAGCTAGACTTGCCGAGGAGTCTGTAACAGGAGTTTCTCTATTGGCCACCCACACAACCGTCCGAGGAATGATACCTTTGAACCAGATTCCGACATACTGATTCTGGGAGTTATTAAGACTAAAGAACCCCAATTCATAGACACCATTTGGCGAGCTGAGAGTTTGCTCTATTGACAAAGGACTTGTTGGTGTTATTCCTGCAAAGCTTAAACTTGAAAAAATGGTAAATAAGAGTAAATAAGCAAAGAACACGATACTCTTCGATCTTCCCCATGTGCTTTTGTCTCTCCGATAAGTAACTTATCTAAGATTATTTTATCATTAAAAAAATTCTCAGGGATTTGTGAACTATTTTCAAGCAAGCTATAAACAATCTTGACAACATCGAACTAATAATACAATAAATTTGCCACGCCTTACGTAATTTTTCATGAAGAACGGATAAGTCCGACCTTTGACCCGATCTATTACACAACATTGTCAATGCCATGTCTCTTTCAGTGTTGACGTAAATAAACCAAACATTTTTCCACGCGTTGAGTCACTTCACATTAAATGATCGTGCAGTTATCATGTTCTTGGTGTAACAACCCATGTCTTGGCCCAAAAATTTATTAATGTAAAATGGATCTGGTCCATTTGCAAAAATCTAAAGTTTACCTACGTTTTCTTATAAAGAGAACTGCAGCTCCTTCTCCCTTCTCATCTAGAAACTTGTAGAGAAGCTCTGTAGAGAATTTCAGAGATTGAAAACTCTAACCGTCAAACTTCTCTTCTTTTTACTCTATTTCCCTTTCACGCATTCCTCTCTCTCTCTCTCTCTCTCTCTCTCTCTCTCTCTCTCTCTCTCTCTCTCTCTCTCTCTCTCTCTCTCTCTCTCTCTCTCTCTCTCTCTCTCTCTCTCCATTCTCTCACCAGATCTCTTCTTCCCTCCTCGTTGTGAGTTTCCTCAGGAGCCAGCCGAGCTGCCGATGGTTGGTGTGGTGGTTGTCCGAGTGGTGGTGTGTGGTGGCGGCCGTGTGGTGTTGTGGTGACTGGATCTCGACTCTCTCTTGTCCTCCTAGGTCCAGATCAGATCAGATCTCATCTTCTTCTATCTTTCTCTCAGATCCAAATCCCCATATCCCAGATCTATTGTTACGGTGAGGTGATTCGAACCCATATCTGTTTTTATAATACTCTATTTTGGCTGATGTTGGAATTAGGGTTCAGATAGTCCTTGTTCGGAAGTTAGGTTGATAGATCATAATGGGTGTTAGGTTGATATATGAATGAATCATGATGCCTAAGAATCTTCATACTGTTTAAATGAGACTTGATGGACTGCCTTATGTTGATATGGTTAATAATTGATGTTGAATGATTGTGTGATTGGTTTGTGTCCCATGTAATGATTGTGAATGAAAACTAGGTTTCTACAGAGAAGTAAAGGCTTGAATGTAAAGTATTGTCCCATTGGTATCTAATGTTATAGAGTTACAAGTGATACGTGATTGCTAGATGTATGTAAACGAGGTGTGATTTGGATTCAATGTTTAAGAATGAGAATGTAAATGAGAATGAAAAGATGATTGATTCAATGAAATTGTTTGAAGTCCTGCTTGGACCACTAAGAACGGGTGGGCGTCTAGAGTCTAGGATGTGTTAGCCCACGGGACATTAGCCTAACATAAGGTACCCGTGGACGGAAAGTGAAAGGCTGTGAAAGGACGGTGACCGCCAAGGTGGGGTAAAGTTAGGTATAGACGCCTTAAGATCAAGTCAATGCCGAGTCGTGGTAAAATGTGACCATCTGACCGTGTACGTGGCAGGATCCTCGAGTGGAAAATATTGCACGTGGGCCAGCAAAAGCTGCACGTGGGCCAACGAGCTACTCGTGGATGGTTACTTAGGGGCTGGGGGACAGCGGTTCGTGTAAGATCTCCCAGAACTGGCCGATATTCGATGTGGGACGTCTATAAGACGACCGTAGGTCCTATAGGTCTAGAGTGATTGGTGAGTCTAGGTAATAGGATGATTGCATGCTTGAGTCTATGTGATGCGACAGCTGAGTCTTTGCGGTGTATGAACCTTAGGGTGATAAAATACTTTGTTGAAATGTTGTTGTATGGCTTGTATGTTGTATATTGATTTTAGTGGCTAGTCGCTCATGTTCCCGCATGGAGTAGGATAGAGTATCATGCGGACAAGCTGGACTAGAGTCACTTCACTGAGTAATCCTAATTGCTCATCACTCCATTTTCGTTTTCTCCTATGCGCAGGACTGTAAGTAGAAGTATGTGGATACGGGTGGATTAGTTTTCATTAAAATATTGTGTCCGCCGACTCTCGGGACCAGTAAAGGACATGTAGGGTTGTCTAATTGAGTAGACACGTGTCCGTAACACCCTTGGTATCAGAGCGAGGGTTAAGGTCCCTTAGTATTATCCTAAGGGGTCGGCAGTCAAATGTTTTCAAAAGTTTTCAAAAGTTTTTGGTTTTGTTTCTTTCAAGAAAAAGAAGTTTGAGAAAATTTTAGAGTATTACCAAAGATGCGAAATAATTTTTAAAACCACTTCTTATATCTATACTTCTACTATGGTTCTGATCGAATCCGTTTATTTGCAAGATTCTTCTCGTGCTAAATTCGTCAAATGTGTTTAAAAGAGCTTCCCCTTAGTTAGTAGGTTATATTCTAATCCTTTCATTATCCATCACGCCAAAAGACACCAGAGAGCGTAAGACAAGCATCATTCAATGAGCATCCTAGCCTTCGAGCAGAATAAAACTTAGTACTACTACAACATCAAATGTAACCAAGTGTCATATGGAGGAAGTGCAAGAGAAAGAAAGCTTATCAAAAGTAATTCTATAAGATGCAGAAATTGTGGTGGATACCATGGGTGTAGAAGAACATCAAAGATACCATAAGACGTGTGGAGGTCGAATGTTAGTGGATGGTGTCGTATATGAGCTTGTGTCATGATATTTCTTCGGAGTGATTGTGAATCTGCAATGTTTATGAATTTTAGTGTTGGTTTGGCGAGTGCTGGTTTGACGTGCCGGTTTGGCAAGAGTGTGTTAGGCATAGAATGTTGAAGTTGTGTAAGACGATGAGGTGTACATGCGGTTAGCTTGGGAACTTGCAGATTAAAGAGACTAGGGAATCTTGTCTGATGAATGCTAGGTAATACTAAATCATGACTCGTGCTTGATGCGTTATATGATCTGAGATGACTTCGTAGGTTCTTAGAACTTACCCTCACAAATAATTTGAGCAATAAAGTTATGAAGGGAAAGAACTGGGGGAAAACTCAGTAGTCACTGACATTCCATATACACAAATATAAGATGTATGAAATATCAAAGAAGGACTACCACTGGAACGAGATTATAAAGGATTGTGTCTTCAAGGATTCTACAGTGGGTGTAGATTAGCTGAGAAAGGCAGAACGGTGAATCGATGATAGACTGCTGCAATAATTACATGTTCTACAATGGAGATAGGACATCATAACATTGGACCTTATGGTTTGATCGCTAAAGACATGGTACTAAACGTGTGTGACATGCATGTGTGCGCGGTTGGTTAAGGAAAGTGGAGAGTTAATTACCTTTTGAGGAATCTATATATGTACGATAATAATTACCACTCGAGAATAGATATGTCCCCGTATAGGGCTTGTGTAGAGACTGGGATGGAAACCATTGTTGAACCCAAGTGGGGGAGAGTAGGGGCTATACGGATATGACCTAAGGAACTACTAAGCAAGTGGAAATGTTTGACGGAGAACTAAATGAAGTGCACAACAGTTTAAAGGTTGTACCGACAACCGCCATAAGGATGATGGGATATCTTCTTGGGGGTAAAAGGTTGATGTTCATAAAGGGATATGAGGGCTCCCTCGGGCTGATGCCTACATGTCTCACTAGCGAGCCATGGAGGGTGATTACAACAATTATATGTACCGCGATGGAATGTGACATATGGAGGTACCATTATGAGGCTGGAGGGAGGGATCATGTAGGGTCATGTAGGCTCGACTGAAAGCAGGGAGATCTTGCGTTCAACTTGAAAAGAGATCCAAAGACTATAGGGCAAGTGGAACGACCCGATATGGGCTAGGAAGAACACAAGGCTACTGCCAGGTGGTGCCAAGAGAGACCTTTGGATAGTGGAACCCACAGATGGGGATACCAGAACCAAAGTACATGTGGGCATAAATGAATCAAGGATATTCAGAGTAGCGAAGCGGAAGCATGGTGGCAAGCCGACAACACACTACAACAGATGTTTCGACTTCACGATGACACAACATGTTGGGCGAGTAAATGGGGGTAGAAGTAGCCTGGATGACATTCCTAAGTCAGGATGTTACAGAAACCGTTAGTGAGCAAGTAACACGTGATGCCCACATTGGTTGGGGATGTTTGGTGTTTGAGTTCTGACATGCAGAATTCGGGGACGAATTCTATTAAGTGAGGGAGATTGTAACAACCCATTAAAATATCAAAAACATTTATAATGTACCTCATATAAATATATTGCATAATTTGTATTTTATATATATTCAATTAAAATAGAATTACTATTTCTTCGTATAAACAGTCGTAGTAGAACCATTTAATTAATTACTTAATATGATATATTTGGTTATTTACATTAATCAATTAAATATATAATATTTCTAAAAAAATTTAATAATCAATAATAATATTAATAATAAATCAATTTTAACTATAAGTTAAAATTTTATTTTTAGTTATAACAAAATCTGTCGAGAGAAAATCAAAAATCATTTCTACTGAATCTTTTAAATATTTGTACAATAATGCATTAATTAATTTTGTTAATATCTTGACATCTAATTCACTTCTTAAATAATAGTATAGATTTTTTACATTTTACATTTTAATTTTAAGTTTTATAATAAAAAAATAGATTTTCAAGATAAAAACATAATACATAAGAATTAAGTTATTTTCTTAAATATCATATTATTAATAGAAATTAGTTTTAGTTATATAATAATTAATAAACAGAATTAAATAAATTGTGATAAATGATCAAAAATATCTAGGATTATGGAGAAGTTGACAAATCAACAAATTCACTTTTCAAATAATTATTTTGATGATTTATATTTAATTATTAATAATATAATTTTTGTATATTAATTTTAAGTTTTATAATAGGAAAATATATTTTCAACATAACAACATAATACATAAGAATTATATTATTTTAGAAAAATATAAAATTATTAATATAAATTCGTTTAGTTATATAATAAATATAATGATTTTTATATATTAATTTAAAATTTAACTTTTATATAGAATAATATAGCTCAAGTTAACAACATAATTCACATGAATTATCTTATTTTTAAAAATATGATATATTCATATATATTCGTTTTATATAAAAATATTAAAAATATGATAAATAAACAAAATTACCTAAAATTATGGAGAACATGACAACTAAGTAAAATTATTCTTAAATAATAGTATAGATTAGGTTAAGACTCATTCAAAAAGTGATAGAGCTCGAAGCATTCAAGTCCAAAAACTCTTACATTTAGAAACGATGTTGAAACCTTTTTATTCAGATTTTTTTTTTTTAATTATGGTTCTCAAAATCTCATAACCGGTTTTGTTCAGTCTTGTACAGTATACAAGACATATTATTTATTCTTAACGCGCAATGATCACAGATTGGGTCATCTCATTGACCGTGATCAAATTGTTAGACAAGGATTCGAAATCTCTCGTATGCACTACAAAAGTGGGTTGTTCTGGTGATGGAAGATCTGATGTTGTGGTGAGCATGGAGAGCAACTCAAGTGTGTTGGGTCTGTCCACAGGTTGGTGTTGAACACAGAGCAGACCAATCTGAACACATCTCCCAACTTCTAGTGTGTGGCATGAATCATCAACATCTTGGTCCAAGAGAGAAATTCCTCCATTTTCACACCAAGACTCCCATACCTGTTGGGTTCCTAAGAATATAAACGTTTGGAAACCTCTGCAAATGTATACATTTAAAATCTTACATATTCAAGTAGGTCTTTTCCTTCTTTGGCATAGCTGAACCTTGAGATCTTTTCTCCACTGATGATTTCTAACAAAAGAACTCCAAATGCATAGATGTCTGATTTCTCAGAGAATATTCCTGTCCATGCATACTCAGGAGACATATATCCTCTGCACACATCAAGTAGTTTCACTAGTTTGTTAATATACTATATATGAATCCTTAGGTAAGCATATTGCTGAAGTCAAATCCTTACAGAGTTCCTACAACCCTTCGAGTGTTGTCCTGATATTGTGTTCCCTCAAACATCCTAGCCAAACCAAAATCTGATATTTTTGGGTTCATTTTCTCGTCAAGAAGAATGTTGCTGACTTTCAGGTCTCGGTGAATGACCTTGTGGCGTGAGTCACGGTGGAGATAGAGAAGTCCACGCGCAATACCTTGAATGATATCAAATCTCTTTGCCCAATCAATCTTATGTTTTGTTGTTGAATCTAAGCAATAATACCGTGTAAAACACTATCAGATAAATAGTTGATATAAAAGGAAAGAGGTAAGAAGAGACGCACCAAAGAGAAAAGTATCAAGGCTTTTATTCACCATGAACTCATAAACCAATACCCTCTCTTCTCCTTCAATGCAGCATCCTAAAATCCTTACTAAGTTTCTGTGTTGTAGTTTTGAAATGAGTAGTATTTCATTCATAAACTCCTCTTTGCCCAGTGTGGAGCTGCTAGAAAGACGTTTTGCAGCAATTTCTTTGCCATCTGGCAGCTTCCCCTGAAACAGATTTTAAATATCATCTCCAGAGCATAAACAGAGAATACAAAAGACTAAAGTGGAATACAATTCTCTGACCTTATAAACCGTACCAAATCCACCATTCCCGAGTTTATTTGAGGGACTGAAATTATTGGTGGCAGTTTGAATGATACTCATTTCAAAGAAACATAAACTTGATAAATCTTGTGGTGTCAGCTCATTGCTCCATGCATCTTGTGAAGCATCATTTGATATTTTTTCTAAAACGTTCCAAGAATAAATTCACAGGTGAAAAAACAAGCCATTTCTATAAAAATAGCAAGGTCATCAGTGTGGTACCACTATGTTTCACTCTGTATCTCCAAAAACAAAACGCAGCAGAACCCAAAATCACAAAAAGAGAAAGGCTGACAATACTAGCGGTAATGATCTTCTTGCGCTTATTTCCCCCTAAGATACAAAAATAAAATAAAACAATAAGCCATGATGGAATTGGAACCTAAAGGAATCTCAATGAAGTGAGCTTTCTCATGGCATACCCAAATCAGAACGTGCAAGACGAATGTAAAGAAGTTCTCCTCCTGAAGAAAACTTCACTGTGTCCATTAGCCCCTGATTCCACATTAAGCACCCTATTTCACGAATAAAAGAAAAGGCCAAGCAAGAACAATTGTGTAGGCAACTTTGGTAGCATTCTTCAGCATCCAAATTTGCAAAATATTTGTAAAAGTCTGGAGGCTTTATGTTGGCAACGGGATAAAACACGTTTACATCTTTACCACTAGAGTTTCTTTCACAAAGTAGTTCGGTACGCCTCACACAGCCACTAGTCCAGTTACCTCTTTTCCACTCCTCTTTATACTTTGGTTCAAACCCTTTGAAGCATTTACATTTTGGAGGTACTGACGTAACACACAACCCAAAAGGTCCACATAAACCGTAAACATCACATGAATTGGTCGGACCCTCGTAAGTTACCTCCCACTTGGTCCCACTATGTTGAAACCTCTTAAGATGGCCCTCTGCTGTTAGAATTAGACGTGAAATTTTGGAGTCTCTTCCTACAAAAGAGAAAGACGCTGACCCGTTTGCATCCTGCGGAAAGCTGAATTCACTTGCTAATGTCTCATTCATTAGCGGTATCCCGGTGAACCTTGTTTTAGCCCATGGACCGCTTCTATAATAAGGCTTTGATCCTCTCGTGGTAAGCACCTGTGAAGGCACTTGCGGTGTTATCTGAGCCACAAAGTCACCAGGGGATGGATCAGTGTAACTTTTCCAAGAAGTCAAGACCCGCTTCTCACCGGTCGTGAGATTACACGTCAAGGGTGAGAAAGGGAGCATAGTATCACTAAGATGAGCAAAGCTTTCCCATAGAGTGCGCCCCGAAACATCGTCTATGACAATAAGATTTCCACTGTCTGAAAGTGCTGCACGAGAACCGTTAGATGCAGAAGTGTCTCCACTAGACCAAACAACGCCTTGTTTTTCATCCAATAAGCGAAGACTTCCACTGCTGCTGATACTTAGAACTGCTGTGGAATTGGTAAGAGGCTTTTCTCTATTGGCTACCCACACTACCACCCGAGGAATGATACCTCTGAACCAGATTCCGACATACTGATTCTGGGAGTTGTTAGGACTGAAGAACCCAAGTTCATAAACTCCATTAGAGGAAATGAGAGTTTGTCCTATTGACAAAGGACTCTCTGTAGTTATTTCTCCATGACTAAAACTTAAGATCATGGTGAAAAAGAGACACAAAGTAAACCTTGACATCTCCATGTGCGTTCTTGTATACAAATACACAAGAATGATCACCTTCGGATTATTTCAGGACGCAAACATGTCAACAATACCAAGTAAGCTATACTCAAAAGAGAAATTGTGAGACTATTCTCAAGCATCTATTAACAATATATTGAACAGCACTTGTTTTCCAAGACTCTGCATTACTTTATTTAGGTTCAACTTAAACCTTATTAAATAATACACAAAGTCATTGCCACGACGAAGTCTAACCTTTTACGCAATCAACTACGCAACGGTTTGACCTCAATAGCAACGTTGCCATTTTCAATCCCTTGTTAGCCTGTGAAGAAACAAACATCAACTGAACGATGAGAATTGTTTAACTGTATAACTTGGTATAATTAGTTTCTTGTTATACAGTTTGGTAAAACTTGAACCTAGTTATACTTAATCCATTTCCAAAGTATATTATTATTTTTACTTCTAAAATAGAGAAATTATATAATAGAGGTGAAGTTTACTCCAATGTTTTTTTAAATAGTAATCTTCATTTATAGAGTTAAAAAATAAAGAATTTCTATTGAATAAGGAAAGTTAATTCAATATATAAATAATGTATCCGAAATAGATTTATATACCTAGATATATTAATTATTTTTAGATTTAATGTATATTAAAAGTATCCAAAATATGTAAGATATTATTAAGTTTTCTAAATACTTGAAAATATATACAAATAGTCAAAAGTTAATGTTTAAAATAGCTAAAGTATACTCAAAACACCAAAAAGATTTTCTTTTCTCCGATCAATTAGAAGTTGCAGAATTTGCTTGAAGCCAAACCTTCATAAGAGATGAAGATGTCGCTGGGTTGGAATCCCTGTAACTCAATAACTTCCCCGAGAGCAGTTTATGGATTTGTCTATGTAAAAGAGGAAGCAGTGATGCGATAGTACGAGAGCAGTTTCGGTGAAGTCTGGCGTTCCGCTATGCCAGTACAGAAGTAGGATACATTTTCTGAAACGGTTCCCTTGAAGACCCTGCAGTTCCAAGACACGTGCAGACCAGTCACGAGCAGGCAAAAAAAGCATATCTTGTTGCTATCGTGTTCCAAATCTCCCAAGTGTAAGGGCATTCAAAGTAAAGATGATCTCTGCTTTCGTCATCTACACCACACAGAAGACAGAGAGTAAGCCCCAATTACAGAGACGGTCTCTAGTAGGACATCTCTCTAAATAGAACAACCAAGCCATGAAACAGTGTCTTGGGATCCAGATGATCACTGTTGTCCATTGTAAGTCTTCATGGGCTTCTCTCAAACAATTGTAGACTTGACCTATTGAATAACATTCCCAAGTGTAGTAATCTGAATCTGTGCTGAAGGCAATGATGTTAACCTGCAGTTCTGAGCGAGGAGAAGGGAGAAGCCAATGTCCGTTCCTGTAGAGGTCAGCAATGGTCGCCGTCCTATTTATACCCACTCTCAAGTCTCTCCCTCCATTTGTTAGTTCCAAGATTGACCCACCCCCTCCGTTGTCTGACCAGAATCTACAGCTCAGACAATTACCAATTCTCATCTTCATCCAGGTAAAAACAGAACCCTTTAGCTTTAGTAACTTGTTTCTCAGCCATGATTTGAACCAAGCGACCCAATCAGACCCTGATTAAAAGAATAATAGCCAGATAAGCTTTACCCTACAAGCTTTGTTCCCCTGCCTCCTAAACCCCCTTGCGACTTCTCTCTAGTGCCTATTTCTCATGAAACCCTAGCAATGTGATGACTCTCCATCCAAATATTGAAACAATCCAACTTATATGTTAAGTTTAGGTATTTTGACATATATTATTCAAATTTATATATAATATATTATTTTGTGTATAGATTTGAGAAATTTAATATATATATAATAAATTTTAAAATTTTAAATGGGTTTATCTGAACCCAAACCCGTAAAGATCAAAACCGAACTCGAACCAAAATTTAGAAATACTGAATGGAACTAAAATTGATCTCAAAATCCCGAAAAGATCTGAACCGAATAGGTACTCGAACGCCCACTTCTATTTTTACATAGAAAATTAAAATTTAATAAATAAAATTGAAAAAGAGACAAAAAAATATTTATATGTATATAGTTTTGTTTTCATAACAAAATATTACTGTTTATATTTAAAACATTGAATACACATAAATTTTAAAAAGATACAAAAAATAATTTGCCCTAGAACCTCTACTAACGTTAAGCCGGCCCTGGGTAGATCGCAAGCAATTTGGTAGATTGCAAGCATATTGATCCCTAACATCGACCAAAAAGCTGGACAAGGCGTCATTCTTATCAGAGATATTAATAATCACTCCGAAATGGTTCTCGAGTTAGAGTATCAGTGAATGTGTTCTTTTGATCTCAAACTTACTTAGCAATTCACTACAAGAAAACAGAGCGATACTGAGGGAATTTCCGAGGGAACGTTGTTTCCTCGGAATATTCCGATGATATTCCGAGG